ATAAGTAATTTAAAATTGGAAATGGAAAAGAGAGTTTGTTTTTAATTGTTATGCTTTTTGCTTTTTATTGTTGAGTTTTGTACTGTTTTTTGTGTGTGTTGTTTTTTTTTGTTTTGTTGTTTAAAACTGTAATAAAAAATTACAAAATTAAAAAAAAAAAGGAAGGGGGTTGGGAAGAGTTCTGAGGGCCAGATACAGAGGCCCCAAGTGCAGCATTTGCCCCTGGGCCTGAAGCTTCTCACTCTTGCTCTACAGTCTACTCTGTGCTATTCAAAGTAGAGGCAAACAGGGACTGGCCTCTGTTTTTCATCTGCTATGCAGTACTAAGATCTTCCAGTAGATGGCAACATGTTGTAGAATTCGCCCAGTCACTTCTGGCTCTCTTTGGAGGTGGGCAAATTGCACCCAACCGTTCTGCACAACTCTATTTTTATGCTTCCTGGCGGTTCAGTATGCAAAACTGCTTGCTGTGTGCACTATTAAACAGGATTTCTTTCTTTCTAATTTTACCTTAAGCTTTGCAGTTATGGTTTCCACCGTTTAAGGGAACAAAGGTAGATGAGCCAAAACAATGCTCAAAGATGGCCACTTGCCCAGATCGTTCACCTGGGCTACCATCTGGTACACTAGCCCAGGCATAGAAGCATCATTGATTTTTTAAAAGGGCGACTTCCAGAACTCTCTGCCTATCAGGATTTTCTACTTGAATCATTAACATTTCCTCTGTTGGGTAAGCTGGAGGACTGTACTTCAGGGCTGGCACACTCATGAGGCAAGGTGAGGTGACTGCCTCAGGTGGCAGGATCTGCAGGGGCAGCAGACCCAACCTCCAAGGAATACATCAAGTGCACTGGAATATCTGCACAGTGTTGGATTAAGACATGCTGAGGCCCTAAACCATGACAGCGTTCACACTATACCTTTAGAGCACATTCAAGGCACAATCTTTTTCTCAAAGAACTCTGGGCACTGTCGTTGGTTAAAGGTTGTTGGGAACTGTCACTGTTTGAATTCTTTGGGGGAAAGAATGGGCTTGGAATGTGCTTTTCAGGTATAGTGTGTACACAGCCTGTCAGCTTTAAGAAGCTCCACAGCATTAAGGGAAGGGGAAAGTCTATAAACACAGTATGCAGGGCCGGATTTAGGTGTGATGAGGCCCTAAGCTACTGAAGGTAGTGGGGCCCTTTATGTCCAGCTGTCCTTTGTCAACAACAAATTGTCACTGTTTTTTTGTGTTGAATATATGCTATATGGTTATTTATGGACCTAATAGGTATCTAAACCCATTTGCCACTGTTGCTGTATGTATTTTTAATTTTATTTGTTTTTTATCTTATATTTTGGAAATGTACATCCAGTTTTTTTTAAAAAAAAAATTGGGGGCCCCCAAGAGAGTGGGGCCCTAAGCTATAGCTTGTTTAGTTTATACGTAAATCCGGCACTGACAATATGACAAATAATTGCCCAGACATTTAGTATCTTTTTATCACATCAAACAATAAGGTCTGTTTTAGAGCCTGTTTTCCCTGTTTCCTTTATTATGTAAAACACAAAATTAAGCGTTTTTTTTTGTTTTTTTGTTTAGTATTTAGAAGCACTTCATAATCAGAGGCCCTAAGCTGTAGCCTACTTCGTTTGTGTGTTAATCTGCCACTGAATCTGCACCCAACTCAGAGAATTAACTGTGAGGGAAATGAAACAGTACACTGGGCTGAACCCTGGTGAAGGAAAACTTGAGCAACTTACCTTAACAGCATTTTAATACAGCAAAAACTGGAACAACATGGGGACAGAGACTGAACAAAGCTGGGTACCAGAAAATAGGGACACTTGTATACTATGATACCAATGATAAATGCAAAATAACTAGTATAGATCCCACAAACCTGAAGACTGCCCACTCCTGCACAGGTAGCAGGCAGGTTTCTACAAGATTGAGGCCACATTCACACCATACATTCAAAGCAGTATCCTACTGCTTTCAATAGTTATGGCTTCCCTCAAAGGATTCTGGGAACTGCCGTTTGTTAAGGGTGCTGAGAGTTGCTAAGAGACCCCCTGTTGCCCTCCCAGAGTGGTTTAACAATCAATCTCTCTTCCCAGGGAACTCTGGGAATTATAGTTCTGTAAGGGGAATAAGGATCTCCTAACTACTCTCAGCACTCTTAACAAACTACAGCTCCCAGAATTCTTTGGAGGAAGCCAGGACTGTTGAAAATGGTGTCGTGGTGCTTTGCAAACCATAGTGCAATGGTTTGACTGTGACCTGAATGGCAAAAATGGCTACCTGCTGGAATCAAGGGTGCCACAAGCGGCTTAGCAGGGTGGGAAAGGGACAACATGCACTTAATATTAATGGGGCTAGTTGAGTTGGTAGAGTATGAGGCTCTTAATCTCAGAGTCGTGGGTGAAAGATTCCTGCACTGCAGGGAGTTGGACTAGATGATCCCCACAGTCCTTTCCAACTCTACAGTTCCGTGACTCCATGGCAAAATCTAGAGACATATTAAAAAATTGTGAAAAATATGTTTTGAAAAATACATTGGATTTGCCATAGCTCACCATCGCCATCTAGTGTCACATTTGTATCATGCACTTTACAACACACTTAAAAAATTTATTTGCAGCTGTATAGCTGATTCTATGAACTGGCTTTAGTCCATGGATGGGATAACCCTGAGCACTGTGCTTAGTCCAGGAATATTTTTTTTTATTGGTAGCATACCCTCCAACATTTCTCTGATGAAAACAGGGACGTCCAATTCCATAATAATAATAATTAACAATTTTACTATTTATACCCTGTCCATCTGACTGGGTTGTTCCAATCACTCTGGGTGGTTTCCAACATATATAAAAACATAATAAAACATTTTAAAAACTTCTCTATACAGGGCTGCCTTCAGATGGCTCAGGGGTTGGATAACTCCATACCCTCCTACAATTCTCTTATGAAAATAGGGACATCCTAAGGAAAAGCGGGACATTCTAGGATCAAATCAGAAACTGGGACGACTTCTATAAATTTGGGGTGGTCCCTGGAAAATAGGGACACCTGGAGGGTCTGCGGTAGCAAACTGAGCTCACAGTTGTTCCGCACAAAAATGGGACTACAATAGGCCAGGGGAGTTAGTTTTCAGTTACTAAGTTTGGGCTGGTGCTGGAAGCTGGAGACACAGAAGCTTGCCTTGCTTTGTCCTGGATCCAAGGCTATGAGCTTGGAGCTTCTCTGGAAACCTAATGGGGAAGAAATATCTGTTGGGGTGTTAGTGTTGCGAACCCCTCTATCTGTTTGAAATTAGCCAGGTGCCAGGCACTTTTTGCACCTGGCTATTGGCCACGTGACGTGGGTGGAGCCTAGGACTTGCCGATCAGAAGGTCGGCGGTTCGAATCCCTGCGACGGGGTGAGCTCCCATTGCTCGGTCCCTGCACCTGCCAACCTAGCAGTTTGAAAGCACTTAAAAGTGCAAGTAGATAAATAGGTACCGCTCCAGCAGGAAGGTAAACAGCGTTTCCGTGCGCTGCTCTGGTTCGCCAGAAGCGGCTTAGTCATGCTGGCCACATGACCCGGAAGCTGTACGCCGGCTCCCTCGGCCAGTAAAGCGAGATGAGGGCCGCAACCCCAGAGTCGGCCACGACTGGACCTAATGGTCAGGGGTCCCTTTACCTTTTATTGGCCACGTGCAACCAAGTGAAGATGCCCGGGCACCAGGATGGCGCCTGACATCTCCACCATCTGGCTAGCAAGCGCATAGCATCACCATCATTATTTTTGCTGCCATGCTATGGCACGAGTCAGATTTTAACTGGAGCTGACAATATACACAATTCATCTTCAGCTTTGTAACCTTGTAAACGGCGGGGAAAAGGTGCCTAAACATTCTGTTAGTGCACCTGTGACCTAGGATGAAGAGGCCATATGACAAATAGCTTTTCTATATCAGTTTCTAACACTGTCAAGTTGTATACATGTGTAATAAAACCAAATCTCTTAAAGACATCACAGTCTCCACTGGTCTTCATTCCAAGGGAAATGAACCCTGCATAAGCACTGCAGCCCATGGGGTCCCCTACCACTTGGAGGTTGGCATGCATGCAACAACATTTTAATGCACGTAACAGCACAGTGCTACTCTAGAGTTCAGTGGGGTTTACTCCTAAGCAAGTTATGGTAAGCAAACCCATAAGGCTGTGTACACACTATAACCATTAAAGTTATGGTAATAAAAGCCATAATAAGGCTGTGTGCACACTATACCTTTAAAATTATGGTAAGGAAAACTATAATAAGGCTGTGTACACACTATACCTTTGAAGCACATCTGAAAGACATTATTTCCCACCCTGCTCAAAGAATTCTGGGCACTGTAGTTTGCTAAGAGTTGCTGGGAATTCTAACTCTGCCAGAAGCAAACTACAGTGCTCAGAATTCTTTGAAGGAAATAATGTCCTTCAGATGTGCTTCAAAGCCGCCCCAAAGCTCACCTAATTCAGCATCCTGCTCTCCCAGTGGCAAGCTTGCAAGCAGGGCTGGAGTGCAAGAGCCCTCTCCCCTCCTGTGGTTTTCAGCAACTGGTATTCAGAAGTATTAAGGCCTCCAGTCATGGCAGATAGTAGCCACTGAAAGGCAAATGCCTGGAGAATAAGTCCTGTCTGAAAGCCATCCAAGCTGGCGACCATCAGTGTCTCTTGTGGGAGTGAGTTCCATAGTTTAACCATGCATTGTGTGAAGAAGTACAGTGGTACCTTGGGTTACAGATGCTTCAGGTTACAGACTCCGCTAACCCAGAAATAGTACCTCGGGTTAAGAACTTTGCTTCAGGATGAGAACAGAAATTGTGTGGTGGCGGCGCAGCGGCAGGCCCCATTAGCTACAGTGGTGCTTCAGCTTAAGAACAGTTTCAGGTTAAGAATGGACCTCCAGAACGAATTAAGTTCTTAACCAGAGGTACCACTGTACTTTATCTGCCCTCAATTTTCCAATATGCAGCTTCATTGGATGCCAACGAGTGACAGAACAGCACCCAAACTTCCAAACTTAGCATCAGGCAAAACAAAAGAACTTGGGAGTGCAGGTGGGTCACAGAAAAAGAGGAATAAGTCGGCTGCTGTTTAATCCTGGGATGCGAGACTCCGTTTTGAAAAGTTCACACCACCCATTTCAAGCATCTTCAAGTGCACATTTAAAGCACATGGCTTCTCCCTAAGAATGCTTGGAATTGCAGTTTTGTTAGGGCGCTGGCAACGATAGCTCTGAGAAGGGAAACTATGGTTCTCGGGATTACTTGGTGGAAAAGTCATGTGCTTCAAATGGATACATATTGCTGGTGCTCTGCCCGAATAAGTCACCTTCTCGTGACATGAGGGACGTGAGCGACGGCAACGGCAGGAGGGCCAAAGGAAGATCTGCTAGGTGTGGCCTCGAACGCACTCCTTTCCTTCTCTCTCACTCCTCCCTCACCCACTGCGGAGGCGGCGCGTTGTGTTGGGTCGAAGAGCCGCGACGACGGAGATTCCAAAACGACGTGTGACGCGTCCCGGCGGAAGGATTCGAGGAATGGAGCGCCGGGAGAAGGAGGAGGAGGAGACGAAGAGCGAGGCGGCTCCCTAAAGTGAAGCGCTGTGTGTGTGTTGGTGGGGGGAAGAATGCATTAAAGAAGTGGCGAGGGGAGGGGGGAAGAGGAGGAGGGGGAACAAAATAGTCCCGGAACCGCCGGAAGAGGCCGAACGGAGCCGAGTGGAGTCGAACCTGGGCCTGCCCCAGCGAAGCCGGCGGGGAACGTCGGCCTGAGGAGAATCTAGCCCGAGCGAGCGAGCGCCGGCGGGAGCGGCGAAGCCGAGTCGGGCCCTCAGACGGCGGCGAGAGGAGGAGGAGACGCGGCCTGTGGAAAGGAGCCCACATTTCTTCCCCTCCCGCTCCGCTTTCTCCCCCTCACATTCCGGACTTGGCGGCGGGAAGGAGGCTCTCCGGGAACGGCTGTTGTTTTAATCTTCTTGTTCTTCTACTCCTCGTCCCAGCCGTCGACGGGAGAGCTCGGGTGGGTTGCCTCCACCGGCGAAGCTTCGGTGGCGAAGCGGGCCCCCAAACAGGACTCGAACCGGAGTCAAGCCGGTTCGACGCGGAGGGGCGAAAAGAAGTCGTCTCATCTCTCCTCACACCCCCCACCCCGCGGCCGCCGCAACTGCTGCTACGACGACTTCGGGGCGTCCGAGCTCCCCACCCCCACCCCGGACCCATCGACGAACTTAGTCCTGTCAGGAAGAAGATGATGCTCTTCGGGGCCTAGAAGAAGAGAGAGAGAGGCGGAGATAGAGGGAAAGGGCGGGGGGCGCGCCGAGAGAGGACCCCCCACCCCCGGCCTGGCTCGTGTGTGTTTTCATACTCCCAACCCCCACCAAAGTAGGGAATATTATGCACCCTTCCCTGAGGGGAGGCTCCGAGGTGCGACCTCAGTTCATGCAAGACTAATTTTCTCTCTCCCTTTAATCAGCCCCAGAGCCTAATTTGGGGCTGGGGTGCGTGTAGATCTCATTTCCCCACCCCTTCTTAGAGGAGGGGGGCTGGTTTACTCTGCTGTTTTTTTGCCCTCCTAAAAGGCAGAGTTTCTCTTTACCCAAGGGAGAAAGAGGAGGTTCTGCCCAGTTCTTCATAGAAGGGCTAAGGGGGTTTCCTATCTTCCTAACATCCCCCACCCCCCCTTGGTGGAAACAGCTCAAAAGTGGGACACCCCTACCAGCTTTTCTTGACAATCCTATAGAGAAAGGTCAGCAGGGCCATAAGGGTTAGTGCTGCAAAAGGGGTTTCCCCGCCCCCCTCAGAAAGGAAAATAAAATCAAGTGCAGGAGAGAAGTGCCACCCCACACAGTCCCATAGAAGGTCATCAAAGGGTTCTTCAGTTTAGAAAGTGGTGAAGCCCAGAGAAGTAACTTTCAGCAGTGGGGAATTGACCCCAAAGTGTATTAGATGAAGCGTTCCTGCCCTCCCATGGGGTAGTAAGGGTGGGAGGAGGCTAGTTGCTCCCCCACGAGGTTCCCTCACCCCTTTCTTTGGACAGGGATTCCTACGCTATTTGACTTCTTGTTGGTTTGCTGTGGCCTAATGACTTGAGAAGAGTTCTGGAACTGTGATGCCTGGACACGAGGCTTGGGAATAACTTGAAGCAGATGTGTCTGTGTCTGACAGTTACCATCTTGAGGCAACGGCAGGATTTTCAGAGGATTGAATCATGACTTTGAAGGCCTTCTCCCATACTACTTGGAGGATTTGGGGCAGAAAAGGTGCTTTGTGGCTTTTCCTGAGCGTACTCTGTTATGGATCTTTTGGGCAATCGTGAAGAACTGCATTGCTGTTGTTTTTAACTGACTTCACTAGTACTTCTCTGGAGCAAAGCTGGTGTGTGTACTGTATGGGAAATTGACAGTAATGTACTTAAATTATAACTAGTACAATGCAGATTGGCTAAAAAGTCGTCTCCTTGCCAAGGGCTCCAATGAGTGGCACACAGTCTGCAATCACGGACAGGTCAGTATGAATAGTGTTTCTGTGCACCTTCTACATTGGCAGCTTGGAGTTTGGTCGCATTTTAAGTTTTAATATTGCAACAGTGGGAAAGGTGCAAAGGTTGACAGCCTTGAGTAAATGAGGTTGGAATTTACTTTTTGAGTTGGCAAGCCCAGCTTTGATCTGATGATGATCAAACCATCTGGGTTAGGTTCTAAATGGATTCAGATAATAGGGTTTTCAAGGCTGCTAGTCACTTGGTCCAGATGTGCGTTCTGGTATACTGTCGTAATAGGGTTACTTCTTGAAAGTACGGTATTTCCTAACTTCAGTGAAGGGGCTGTATAGACGATTGCTCCATCTTGGGGGTGCAGATGTTTAGTGGGCAGGTCATTTTGAGTGGAGCTGGAACACACTACGTAATAACCTAACCTATTTCTCAGTTGGCACGGTGGCATTCTTCAGTCTCATAGTTCCTGGCACCCACTGTATTTATTTGGAGCATTGTATTGAGTTTGGACTTATATTTTGTTCTTCAAAATGGGATGCTGAAGTGTCTGCCTTTACAGTAGATCTGCTGTAGTTGGCACATGGAAGCCTGTGCTTTCCCCTCTTCCTCTCCTCCTTCCCCTCTGACTCATGTTGCTTTCCCTCGCTTCTCTTTGCATCCTATTAAACTGCAACCCCACCCCATTTCCTCCCAGCATTTGGTACTTAATGATGCTGACAGTTCTAGAACCTAGGATATGCCCTCTTCATCTGCAGGGAAGTCCTGGTTATCTGGGACATGCAATATGTTGAGTTTAGATAAGAGGTTTCATATTGTGTTTTTATTATTAAAGTCTGCTTCCTCCTCATTAAGTACTAAATTAAAAAACAAAACATTGGAAGCAGCCATCACTTTGTATTTTGGAGTTTGGATGCATAATCATAAAGAAAAGGATGCGGGGAATGAACTTGACAGCTGCTTTTTCTTTGGCAAGTATCTGTTACTCTTCTGGATAGGAATAGTGTTAGTTTGTACTTCATCACCCAATAACATAGGCATTACAAGAAGTGAAGTTTGGTCCAAATGTTTGGCCTTGTGACTGCTGCAGCAGTCCTGAAGAGTTTATTTTGTAGATGAGTCATGGAGTCAACAGGCACATAATCCAGCTCTGTTGATTATCTCAGACAATTTTCTGGGTTCCAGAGCTGGCTACAGAACTGCTAAACATGCTGCTTATTTATGCTTCTAAAATGTTGAACCTTTTCTTTAAAAGCAGCAGCAGACTCAGTTTAAATGCATAATTGGATTTTGAATGCATTTTCTTGTTTGAATCATTCTTCCAGAAAAATGGGAAGAATGCTTTGGATTTTCTTGTACAGAGCATGTTCTCCAAGCTCTAATTATCTTCCTACAAATCTTTTTCGAGCTTAAAAAATAAGAGTGTAAGTGTTTTGTTTCGGTAGCTTACTGGAAGTTCTATTAGGCCATTCATTTATTCCATGTTATCAAACAGGTTTTAGTCAGCTAGTAACAGATCTGAATAGCAGAAAAATAGGCTGCAGGTGAGCAGTTATAGTGGAGATGGTTGGTTGCTGAAACAAGGCATTCTTTTTATAAAAATTGACATGTTGTCTTTTTATATTCCTTGTCTTTTTAATGTACACATTCAACTTACAGTATTAGCAACTACTTGCTAATGGTGGTGAAAGCTAGCTTTCTGTCTTCAGCCTAGGTGTGCTGTATGACAGGAATCTTAGACTTTTTATGCCACCCTGCTTGACCTCTGTTCTTGAGCAACTTCTTTTCTAATGGTGATAAGGTAATTGTTTTCACTTTCCGACATTCACTTTCCTAAGCTTTGACTCTGAACATGATGCTGCATGAATATATGTCTGCTCAGTAGTTTACTCTGCTCAGAAAACACCAGATAAATAATGACTTGGGGACTGTCCTATGCTTTATTTTGGTAGGAGACAGATAAATGATTCTCTCCCCCCAGCTTTTTTGTTATTATTTAAGAAAAAGAAATGAACAGTTCTGTTATTCCTTAAAGTCAGCTTCAAGCATAGTGCTTCGCAATGTTGTTTACTTGCAATGTATCCAACCTGGCCTTGGTTTGTCATGGACATCAATCTTCACTCGTAAGCTGATTTTTTACCAATTACTCTTGAAGTTCTAGAGATGAACTGGCGAGAAAGGGCTAATTCCCCCATGTCTTGCTTATGGACCTCCTATAAGAACCTGGTTGGCCACTGTGGAAAAAGGATCCTGGAATAGATGGACTTTTGGCCTGAACTAGGAGGACTCATTCTCTTTGAAATTTATTTCTTACATAGTGCTAATTTCTTCAGTCTGTGTTGGATTAAGCAGGATATAGTTTTTCTCTCTGCTTTTTTAAAAAACAGAGGTTATGCTTGCAGGACAGGTTGCAGATCAAGGTCTAGATCTGTATGTCAACAGTAACTTTTATTTCCTATTGGCTTCAGATCTGATTACCAGTGTTGATGCTCTTGTGAGCAGAACTGAACCTGCCCATTCTTCTACTTGCAGCTTTTCTAGTTAATGTCATTTATGATGGTGATTTTTGCCTTATAATGATCATGCTTCCTATATGCTAAGATCATCCAAAGAGACTTTGCTTAGGTCAGTTTTTTGTGTGTGTGTATATATGTGAAGCCGGGTAATCAGGACTTTCATTGAAGTAACACTTTTTTCAGAATTCTGGCTCTAGGACTAGTTTTGTCATTATCTTCTGGAAAGTAGTTAAGAGTAAGACATTTTTATTTCAGCAATATATTGGAAGGTGAAACCAATGCAATTTAGTCAAGTTGGAAATTAAACTACCCACAGGTTGTTTTTTTAATATATAGCTTTATGGCTCTTTTTAAAAAATGTTTTGTTTTGATTAACTGAAATATTGTTGTTAAATCTTTGTGTTAATATTTATATAATTTAGCTGCCTCAAGGGCCTTCTTAAAACTGCAGTATATGGCAGGGTTTGAAAAATGTGTGTGTGTGTGTGTGTGTGTGTATCTATATCTATATATATATCTATCTCCACCTAACAGTAGGGAGACTCATGGCAAATCTGTTCTCTTTGCCCTTTTATTTTATATATAGTAAAGAAACTTGGGGGTAGGGGTTGAACTGTTTAGAATGTGTTTTGGAACTGACTTCTTCACATTTTCAGTTTTCAAATACTGTATCTGCTTAGAGCTTAGTAATTATTTTTTATCACAATGTATCTTCCGTCCATATACAGTGGTGCCCCGCAAGACGAATGCCTCGCAAGACGGAAAACTCGCTAGACGAAAGAGTTTTCCGTTTTGGAGGTGCCTCGCAAAACGAATCTGCAATGGGCTTGCTTCGCAAGACGAAAATGTCTTGCGAGTTCCTGGGGTTTTTTCCTTTTCCCCCTCTTTTTCTAAGTCGCTAAGCCGCTTATCTGCTTATCTGATAAGCTGATAAGCTGCTAAAAGCCGCTAAAAGCCGCTAAAAGCTGCTAATAGCGCTAATAGCGCTAATCCGCTAATCCCATCAATGGGCTTGCTTCGCAAGACGAAAAAACCGCTAGACGAAGAGACTCCCAGAACGGATTCTTTTCGTCTTGCGAGGCACCACTGTACTGAACTATATTATTCCTCTGTTTTGTTCATCTTCCGTCCATATACTGAACTATTTTATTCCTCTGTTTTGTTCATCTTTGTAGTATGTTTCTTTAAAGGAAGCTTAACATCTCTCCTTATCTCTTTAAATGTTACAGAAGACTATTCTGTAGTTTAAATCTTTCATTGTAATTTAATCTTACTGTATCATGAGTTATATTTAACAAATTTTGTTTATCCTGTTCCTCAAGAGTGTGGAATCAGCACACCTATTACCCTCAGTGAATATCACTGTAATCTTTTCTTACTCATGCACAAAACTTGCTCCTTTTTAATTTTTTCACCTTTTTTTTAAAGTCATACCAAATAAATGTGAAGTCTTAATGACTTCTGGCGCCATTCTTGGTTTCCACTGAGTTAACGGTCAACATACAGATTTTCATGGCCATTGTCTTTGCAGTTACATAACAAAGATAGAAAACAATATTTTTGGTCTCTGCTGTCTGAAAGCAGGCAAGCGTTGGCTTTGAACATCCTATGTTTTGCCATTTGTGGCAGGCGATACATGGGTGAGTGGGATAAAGTGTGTTTTTCCTTCATTGCTGAGCAATTTGAAAACGTTTAAGATGATCATGATGACTCGAATGCATTGTGTTGCAACAACATAGAAACGTCTGGATGTGCCTGCTTCCCTTTTTTGTCAATCTAATTAACTGCATTTATTTTCATAAATAATGTTTGAAGCTACGAACATGAGTTTGACCAAGCTGCGGGAGGCAGTGGAAGACAGGAGTGCCTGGCGTGCTCTGGTCCATGGGGTCACAAAGAGTCGGACACGACTAAATGACTAAACAACAACAATTTTCATATAGCATTGCCAGTCATTGTCTCACACATTGTGTGCATTTTTTGTGTGTCCTTAGAAGGTAGTGTGTCCCATGTTTAGCAATCGATATCTTTTCTTCCAGCATGTTTTTGTTAAAGTGAATTCTTATAATAGCATCTAAAATCCCTGCTACCATGAGTGAAATAAGTGTTTGTGGAGAATTTACACAATTACTTAAACAAGATTTCTTAATTGTTGTTTTCCTTCACCACTAGATGCTAAAATTGACTCTTTCTAATTTGCCTCGTATTTCAGCGTATGCCTGCATAATAATAGTGACATCTAAATGGGTGGAAAATAAGAATTGTTCTGCTAAGCACAACCATTTTCTGTGAAATTCTTATACTTTGTTGCAGTTGCTTAACTGAAAAGTTGTAGGTATATAAAAGTTGTGCATACTTCTCATTTTGCTAATTTGTAGTGCTCAGACATTTAAACTATATTTGTAGCAGTCTTTTTAGCCAAACATTTCCAGTCATCAGGTTATCTTTTTTTTTTTTAACTTGTGTTGCTTATCACTGTAAAGTACCTATTTCCAGGTTATCTGGAAACACATTAAATGATGGTATATACATCAGAATATAAAGAAAGATATTCTGTTTCAGTGTGCAGTGATAATTCAGACTGTTAGTGGCACTGATTTTCTCTGAGAAGAGACAAGCTATGCCTTTTTGTCCTCCCACCTAGAACATTCTTATGCTGCTTTTTTAAGCACCACAGCCCACTGTGTCAAACGGCAAGCTGGGTTTTTGATCCATTGTCAGAAAGGGGTCTAAATACTGACATTTCAAGAGGCAACCTCTCGCGCTTCCCAGACAGAGGGTCTGGCCAGTTCTGTTCCAACATTTGTGTCAAACAGTACAGAATGTGAGTATTTCATTAATGAGATACTCCCTTTCCCTCAGCGGAAGCTGGAAGTGAAGCAACCAGTTGTTCCACCCATGAAATGATACAAATGATACAAACTGCACTAGCTGGTATGACCATATACTTAGTCTGAGCTTTCCTTTAGTTATTATTTCCCCCCTTCAAGTTGGAAATTTTGATCATTATTGTTGGTTAGAACTAGACAGTTTCTTCAGGCTTTTATTCTATCTCTAGCCAAAATTGGAGCTTGCTTTTCTGGTTTTGAAGAAAGCTGTGGGTGCCAAGGTAATTGCTTGGGTGGAGGCGGGATACTGCTGGCCAAATGCATGTAATCCTTTGGTTGCACTGAACTTACTATGACATAAATTAGTAATGCTAAAAGGTTCAAGGCGGTAATGGATACCAAGTTATTTTCATTCCATCCAGTACATCATATTTAAATCCTGCCAAAGTCTGAAAGAAGCCAATTAGGAGTACCTTATATTTCAAATTGGATAATAGTCGGAATGGGGATAAATGAGAACTTCACAATGACAGCCAATACACTGGAGGGACAAATATTTCTACCATTTCTTGTACGTTAGAGCTGCTTCATTTCATCAGAATTCAGTGAAAGCCTGTGGCGTTGCATGCAGGATTCTCTTAAGTGTGACTATTGATTCATATTGATTTATACACCAACTAACAACCTTGCATAGACAGTCAAACTTAGTCAAACTTCAATTCCTTTCTATATTTTGATCATCAAAATTTGCTGTGGATCTGATGTTAAAACTAACTAGATGGGCAGTGGTGATTCCTTTGTTTAAACTGTGAGACACACTTTTTGTATAATCAAACCTATAGCTGGTACTGCATGGGTATATATATGTGAATGCTGCACTAAAAAGTATTGATGCTTTATATGCGCCATATTTTAACAGTACAACCTGAAGCGTATGTAACCCGAGGTACCACTGTACTAGAAGAACTCAATGGGATACCATTTTCTAATGCAACCAAGGTGCTGGTTTTAACCTTTAAAGCAGTGCAGTGGGGCAGCCAGTTGGTGTCTTCCAGATACAGTATTGTGGACTCCAGCTTCCATTATTCTTGGCCATTAACTGCATAGCCATAGACTAAGACTGATGGAAGTTGGAATCTACAGCATCTGCAGGGCACCACACAAACGAAACATTCCCTCTTGCTTTGTGAGGAATTGCGTGTGTGTAAACAGACAAGCAATTACGCATTTGTCACTTGTTTTGGAATAATGAGCTCTGGTTAAGGAAGGTGGAGATGCAAAGTTAAAAACAAAGCCCCACAACAAAATCTTTAATATATTGCTTAATGTTATAAAAGAAGAAATGAAATTTATATGACGGCACCCTTTTTAGAATTCAACATTTCCTTACTGTATGTTATGAATCCAAAGGTATAGCAAATGAGGATGGGAAATGGAAGTCTGTCTGATCTTAAGACATGCTTATTTTATTTTGCTTCCATAGGGAACATCTAGTAAGTTTCTGGCGCTATGTAAATAAATGAAATTTGTTCCAAAACATTTTAACTCTTGAGCCACATGCATTTACCCTTTACTTGGTGCCATTTTCAGAGACACTTCATTTATATATTGTTAGTGAACTCAGTTCTAGAGATGTGTGTGTGTTTTAATTAATTTGTAGCCTACCTGATCTCAGAGGTTCTGGAGAAAAAGATGGGCCACTTTACAATCCTGATTTATGGCCAGCAGAAACATGTATTGCATATGTTTAGAAATTAGAAAGGTAAGCAGCTACCATTTCTTGGCAAACACTTGCATATTTCCTATCCCAATGCTTGATTGGACTTTCCACTCCCCCAATCTGTAGCTTTGTGTTCTGTAGAACAACAAGAACTTCTACAATTAACTCAAAGCAGTAAATAAGCATAGAAATGCTTCCCAATGGATGGAATAGTTGTGTAAACATTTCAAATTCCCAATCTGTGCAGTTCATTCAAGTTCATACCTTGTTTCTGTGTATTTAATTTGCGTAAATCATAGAATCATAGAGTTGGAAGAGACCACAAGGGCCATCGAGTCCAACCCCCTGCCAAGCAGGAAACATCATCATCACGTTTGTCAGGTGCCCTTCAGCTACTGATGGCCAAAGTATTGCTGTCTCTGTTAGAAACACATTGTCCTCTTTAGGATTGCAACAGGATATACTTACTGACTCGGGAGATGCACTTTAAGCTTCTAAACTTGTTTAAACAGCTCAGTGAAATTATGGCTTCTCTGTTAATGATCTCATTGGGGGATGTAGCATGAAGTGCAAGGTGTGAATTAACCAGAAGGGCCTCTCAGTGTGGATAAAGAAATGGCATGTATAAACTGCCAAAGGGAGAACTGCCTATCTTTCTGCCTGTACTCACATGAATGAGGTGTGGCTTTACAAGGGCAGCGCACTTGGAACAGTTTGTTGCACTCCTGAACTAAATGTGTGATGCAAATAAATTTGACTTATTCAAGCAGTTTTTATTGTAGCAATGTGTCCTGGTCTGGCCAAATAGTTCCTGTTTGTGTAGGAAACTGATCTCAGACCCTCTCTATTCATAGTCTTGGTTTATCATGTCACATGGCATAGTGTTTGGATAGCTTCCAATGTTGAAAAATTAAAGCTGATGGTAATCTATGAGCAGTTTAGGCATGTTTTTTGTGGAATTTCGAATGAGCCAGTATTCGAAGGTGCCTGGAGGAAGTGTTATTGGAATCTGGAGGCATGAAGAAGGGTCATTTGATTTTTGGCACCAGATGCAGGCAAAGGAGGGGGGATACAAGTTTGGAGAGACTATATATAAAAATTGAAAGAAATTGCAGGATTGCAAATTCATTCATGTTTGGCTGTCAAAATTAAAACAAGCAGTAGGTCTTGGGAGCATACAGATTTCTTTATACTCTGGTTGTGGTGCTAGGGACCAATTTATGCTCCCTGCATGTAGAAAAATAATGCCAGAGAGAAGGATTTGGCATATCTTTTTCACTGGTACATATTCATTTTCTGTACATGAGTATACAATATACAAGCGCTCCCACTGCAACTGAAGTGGTACTTTACCACTTGATTCTACTGATTCTATAAATTGCCACTCCATTTATTATAGCTATTATGCACATTTTATCCTATTCAAGACTCTTTGTATATGAGAGGGAGAGGAAGACTGAGGATGGGTATCATAAGCTTATTCAAAGTATTTATTTGCTGCTGTTTAGATATTTACCAACTCATTTACGCTCTGTTTTTGCAAGGTAGGATACTGATGCTACCAGAAACTTGGAAAGGGTGATATTAGCCATTAACAATCCAACTGCATACACGAAGTGATGAATAAGATACAGAAGGCTACAGAACTTGTAAATAGTCAGAAATAAGGATTATTATTATTATTGATTAAATTTGTATACTTTCCTTTACCTGCAGAATGGCTTCAGCTGCAGAATTTTTATGGCTTTTCTGTCTGGGTGATGTCATTGATCACTATAGTACAGCTGAATAGGAACAGAATAGTAAACCTCAAGTTTGTATTACAGGACAGTGGGTGGAAGAGAGATGGAGCTATCTTCATATTGGAAAGTGCTATATAACATTTTGAGTCAATTTGATTTGTCACATAAAATGAACAATAATAGATCCATAAAATGAAGTGTAAAGGGAATTGATCTGCCTACTTCCTGGAAGTAAGCATGAATTCTGGGATAGAGGACAAAGGAATCTCCTTGGATCTTATCACTGATAGCTGCACATTTCAAACTGGGGACCCACTGTAAGCTTCTGGGGGAAAAAAAGCTGTGGTTTGCCTTCTGCTGTGGTTTTTTGTGGTTTCAAAAGCGGAAGTGGCTCTTGTGGGTAATGATCTGATCACATTTTGTACCACATGTGTTATTTCTGTTTTTATTGGCTGGTTGAGAAACCATTACCCCAGGGTGGCTTTTATAGACTTGAGATGTTTTTCAGCCCATGTGGAATTGATGCATTAAAGTATCCAGAGTTTTGTCAGTGAAGCTGAATTTGTTGCTGAAGTCATACACGCTACAATTAAATGTCACAGTAGACATGAGAGTGCTTGGATGAGATATAGAAAGTCGTGTAGGGTTCTGGTATAAAAGGAAAATGTTTTATTGTTGCCTTGTTGTAACAGCAGCAAAGGGTACCGTATTTTTCGCTCTATAACACGCACCTGACCATAACACGCACATCATTTTTAGAGGAGGAAAACAAGGGGAAAAACATTCTGAATGAAACAGTGGATGTATCATTTTTGTGCTTCATGCTGTGGCCACAGACATGTGATCTGATGGTGAATTTGGGGTGACCCAATGCAAAGATCCTGAGGATCCATGTGGATCCATGCTTTGTAACCACGTTTTTGCACCATTGCAGCCCCAGGCAACAGTGGGTGTGTGATTTTTTTGGTGCAGGCTGTAGCAATGGACATGCTATGTGATCTGATGGTGAATTTGGGGTGACCCAATGCAAAGATCCTGAGGATCCATGTGGATCCATGCTTTGTAACCACGTTTTTGCACCATTGCAGCCCCAGGCAACAGTGGGTGCGTGATTTTGGGGGTGCAGGCTGTAGCCATGGACATGCTATGTGATCTGATGGTGAATTTGGGGTGACCCAATGCAAAGATCCTGAGGATCCATGTGGATCCATGCTTTGTAACCACATTTTTGCACCATTGCAGCCCCAGGCAACAGTGGGTGCGTGATTTTGGGGGGGCAGGCTGTAGCTATCGACATGCTATGTGATCTGATGAATTTGGGGTGACCCAATGCAAAGATCTTGAGGATCCATGTGGATCCATGCTTTGTAACCACATTTTAAGTGGGGAGGGAAGGAAAAACACAGAAGGGACAAGGAGCACGAGAGGGGTGTGCAGAGAAGCAGCTGGCTAAGAATGCAGGAGAGGGGTATAACGGGAGGGAGGAAAGGAAGGCAAAAGGAATTAGAAGGAAGGACGCTCTGCTTTCCCCTCCTCTTGCCTGGAGGGGAGGGGCTTTCCCTGCTCTTTGTTCCGTTTGAGCAAACACAGCAACGAAACACAGGGGGTGGGCAGTAAGACCCTGAGGCAGAATGCAGGAAAGCAGCCGCTTCCTCTTTTCAGGTTTCCCTTCTCCGAGACGCGCGATTTGATTTTTGCCTCGCGCCAGTCGGCTCCAGGGACCACACATTCGCTCAATAACACGCACAGACATTTCCCCTTCCTTTTTAGGAGAAAAAATCTGCATGTTATAGAGAGAAAAATACGGTAAGTTAACAAAATATTGAGATTGCAACCTTTACATCTTTACAATATAACATGGAGGTATAAATGCCTCTGTATACACATAAAATTACTTTAGTGTGGAAGCCAATGCTCTGGTGTGAACACTGATTTTTAGGAACATATTATAAGAGCTGTCCCCTCCCTCACCCCTATGTGGTGTAAGCCTTATTTGCCATAAGAAAATTTTGTCTTGGTTTACCTGTTTCAGGGGCTACCATATCCCTTGCAAGTTACTCTCCTGCACTCCATTCCCTGCTTTTATTGTTGGGGATAACAAGCATTTTATAGTGGTACCTCGGGTTAAGAACTTAATTCGTTCCGGAGGTCCATTCTTAACATGAAACTGTTCTTAACCTGAAGCACCACTTTAGCTTATGGGGCCTCCAGCTGCCGCCGCACCGCCGCTGCACAATTTCTGTTCTAAAGTGGTCTTCAGGTTAAGAAGTATTTAAGTGGTACTATTTCTGGGTTATCGGAGTCTGTAACCTGAAGCGTATGTAACCTGAAGCGTATATAACCTGAGGTACTACTGTACTTGTAGCAAGATCTTATTTCCATGGAACTCTCAGAAAATCTTGTGCAGTAGAGGAGTAATAACAGTTTTTGCCTGGCTTTGAAAACAAGTTCACAAAAGTTATTAGCCCATTTTAAATTTGCTTTTATTAGGTGGCCCATACTCTTTGTGACACTGAGTAGCCTTCTGAAAACATCAAGAAAAATATCTCCCAAGTTTTAGCTATAGATAATAAGTTCTAAGAAGAGTTTGGATTTGATATCCCGCTTTATCACTACCTGAAGAAGTCTCAAAGCGGCTAACATTCTCTTTTCCCTTCCTCCCCCACAACAAACACTTTGTGAGGTGAGTGGGGCTGAGAGACTTCAGAGAACTGGCCCAAGGTCACCCAGCAGCTGCATGTGGAGGAGCCGAGACATGAACCCGGTTCCCCAGATTACAAGTCCACCGCTCTTCAACATTCTCTCATACTTGATGGTTATCAGTTAATAAGGAAACATACCTACTTGATGATTTTCCTATATGGTGTTTCACATCCCCTGAAATTCTATGTGCTCTTTGGGAAAATCAGAAAATAATATCTCAACTTTTGGGGATAGGAAGCTGGCAAAATATAGAGGAGCTTCCAGCTGTGGTGACTCAGCTCTCCCATTGAGTGTGGAAAGCTTTTTCAAGCTGTTTGGCCTTTCTGCAGGCTGACATCCTTTAGCAGTTTTGCGTAGTGGGTAGGTGTTGGGCAAAGGTGCAGAAATAGATATGATGTGAAAATGTCCCTTCTAGAAGTGTTCCTTATTCACTAATAAAATAGTAGATAATTAAGCTTTGAGGATGAAAACTAACCTTGCAACAAGTTGCTGTGAGTCACAAGCAGTTTGATGTTCTCTGCTGTATTCTGGAATGCAGCCAGTTGACAAGAATCCCATTTTTACATCAATTGTTCCATAGCTGCTGGAAGTTCTTTGTTTATTTACTCCTTTGACAAGAACATCAGGATGACTGAGACATACTTCTAAAATCTTCCCTCTCCCTATCATTTGTTTGCATTGCAGGGAAATGGTTCCTTCTGATCTGCACTGTGTTTCCTGAGATACTGAAACGGTGCTTAGTCTCCAGGCCAGCTGCTGATTGAATTGTACTGGAAGTTCGTAGAAGCTTACATCAATGTAAAAACATGCCTTTTGCCTGCCTGTCCTGGCAGTGTAGAGTAGGCAGCTTTTGTAGAAACCCTTCTTGCTTCATCTAAGTATTGAGGATTTATTCTGAATTCCATTACTGAACGAGGTAGATTTCTTATTTAAATCACCACTTGGATCAAATTAATCAGAAAACCAAGCAAGAAAAACAGCAAAGCTAGCTGTTAGTGAGGTAAAATGACCAGAGAGACGACTGGGCTTCTGGTGTTTGTCGTCAAAGCAGGACTGTTCTTTTCAGGGATTTTCCTAGGTAGAAGTCTGCTCCCTATTTGTTGTAAAGGCCACTAATGGGACCAATAGTTAGTCATTTTCATTTTGCTGGGAGATGCATAGTGACAGAATCTGTGTATAGTAATACCATTGGCAGCTGGAATTTCCCAGAGTTGGTTGTATGTCTGTATCAATCCATATACTGGATTGTGTGTGCCTGAGTGCACATTGGGATGGTGGTGGTATTGTTGTAACTGTTAAGCAGATTGGTAGGGGAAGCTGGAGATAATGGTAATGTACAGTTTCTTTGTCTTGTTGAGCTCTTCCAGGGACGCTGCACTGACTTGGTCTTTTGAAGAGAATTGTGTTGCATTAGTAGTTTCCTTACATTTTTTTCTTTGCCAAACATTGATCATGTGCAAAATGCATAATAGACCAAAAGACCCCTTGGTTACCATCTCATGGGTGAAGAAAAGGTTTCATCAGTATGTGAACAATTATTTATGTTGAACTAAATTGACATGTCGGTAATAATCATTCTTCTCTCCTTTTGAAATAATTTAATGTTTGGTATTTTGATTAAAATTATTTAAAAATTCAAATCTGTGCTGAACAGATCTTACCTACAAAATATTTCTCCAGATCTGAATTAACTGGTTCTGAATACTTACTGTTGTGGATTTTGATGACAGTTCATTTAAGATTAACAGTGTGGATTGCACTCACAATTAAAAAATGCTTTGGATTTTCCCCATTAGTACTGGGTGTTTTTTTAAAAAACAATTCTATCTATATATGGGTATATATGTCTCCTGTTTTTCAAGATGCAAATCCTTCCAAGGTGGCTGAAATGGTAACCTTAAATAACACTTTTAGAAAACACAATAAACAGTATTAACAGTACGGTATAAAGTAATGAGAATCCTTCACACAGGACAGGTGGTGGTTGGAAGGCCCAGAGAGATAGTCCTGCTAGAGCAGATTCTTAGGTGGTCTTGTCCTCCCTCTCCTGTGTTGTTGTTGTTTAGTCGTTTAGTCGTGTCCGACTCTTCGTGACCCCATGGACCAGAGCACGCCAGGCACTCCTGTCTTCCACTGCCTCCCGCAGTTTTGTCAGACTCATGTTTGTAGCTTCGAGAACAGTGTCAAACCATCTTGTCCTCTGTCGTCCCCTTCTCCTTGTGCCCTCAATCTTTCCCAACATCAGGATCTTTTCCAGGGAGTCTTCTCTTCTCATGAGATGGCCAAAGTATTGGAGCCTCAGCTTCACGATCTGTCCTTCCAGTGAGCACTCAGGGCTGATTTCCTTAAGAATGGATACGTTTGATCTTCTTGCAGTCCATGGGACTCTCAAGAGTCTCCTCCAGCACCATAATTCAAAAGCATCAATTCTTCGGCGATCAGCCTTCTTTATGGTCCAGCTCTCACCTCCTGTAGATCAGTATAGTCATATATTTATAACATACATACAAGTACGTTATAGGAAAGTGGAAATTTATAATTGATCAGTATATGTTCAAGATGAGAACACTGCAGACATTGGGGATATTGAGGAGACGACTGTGTAAATGACTATTTATTCAGGTATTGTTTGGTCTAAATCAGCAGTGTGTCAGGCTGATTCGGTTATTGGTAGAAATGCATGACTTTTCTCCCCAGGCTCACATGAGAGTGACTTGGAAACTAAGCCAAGCGAGTTTCACTCCGTTTTCTTTATGGAAGAGTTACCCTGTGGAGGAGAGCTTCAGCTATGGGAAAAATAAGAAGAGGGAGATGTGTTCTTTTTCTCTTCCTCCCTTTTCTTTCTTTCTTTCTTCCTTTCCAGTAAGTGGAGGAAGGCAGACCCTGGTGGACCTTGCAAAACCTATTGTAGAGGTGGATTTAGGGCAGTGTGACTGGTTCCCCTGCACAGGGTGCCGAGCTGAGAGAGTACCTTCCTGCCTCCTTCCCAAAGCCTAGTAAGTGCTGGGCTTTGGGAAGGAGATGTGAGGACTCTGCAAGGTCCTAGAATCTTCCTTACTCTTTCTTACGAAGAAAGCGTAGTTAGCGCTTGCCCAGCTTTTGGAAGGAGATGGGAGGGCTCTAGGACCCTGACAGAGCCTCATGCCTCCTTCCCAAAGCCTGGTGCCTTGCTTAGCCAGCTTTGGGAAGGGGGTGTGTTGGCTGGGGGTGGGGAGCAAATGTTGGCCTCGCACAGGACACCATATTACCAGTGTCCGTGCCTGGCGGTGGGTGCCAGGACCTGTCTTCCTGTTGTGTTCCAGCTGCACTAGAAAGGGTACAAGGGCACAGGGATTGATTCTCCCTATTTTCACAGCTTTTTGTCCTTGCTACTGTTGCCAGATGTCTTTTTTTTAAAGGGTTGGGAGGGGCTCTAGTCTGGACTAGAGAAGGACTAGAATACAGTGGTACCTCGGGTTACATACGCTTCAGGTTACATACTCCGCTAACCTAGAAATAGTGCTTCAGGTTAAGAACTTTGCTTCAGGATAAGAACAGAAATTGGGCTCTGGCGGCGTGGTGGCAGCAGGAGGCCCCATTAGCTAAAGTGGTGCTTCAGGTTAAGAACAGTTTCAGGTTAAGTATGGACCTCCGGAACAAATTAAGTACTTAACCCGAGGTACCACTGTAGTCCATAGATAGAATTTTAAAGAATATTTTCAATTTTCCTTTCTGTAAACTGCTTAGAGGTTGTTTTAATTGAGTAAGTGTTATGCACGTTTTGTTAAGTAGGGTAGTGCAGATGCACAGCCCATCTTTGACTGCAACAGTATAATGTGTTTTAGAAATCTCCAGGAGAGGGGAAACATTCACAGATTCATAAACTGGTTGCTGATTTGAAGATCAACATGGTGGCTTAAAAAAAAGTTTCACAATTTTTCTACACATGGCCTCATTTAGTAAGGTGAATGTTCACATGGTGATCTACGGTGTGTAGTTAACACTTTTCAGCTCTTCACATCAAAAGAATTCCAAGAATTAATTTTAAAATTATAACTAGCCGATCAGAGTTCAGTGGCAGAGAATAGCTGAATTTTCATTGTTTATCCTCTGGACTATGCAGGTTCTTGGTTCCATTATTAGGTAAGCAATCAGACTAAATTCAAGAGTCTCTGTGAAAACATATTTAAAAGAAAAAATGGAGTAATGACAAAAAGTTAACCACTATAATTGTTCAAACTCCCCCCCCCCCATTTGCAAAGCATTGTTTTGAGTAGCAGTGCATGTTACTGTTAAACATAAATTTGGGAGGTGACACCAGAAGGCCTGGAAAAAAAGACTATTGATCATTTATTGGCTTGGAGGGGAAGGGAGTGAAATTATCAGTGTGGAAAAAAGTCAATAGCTTTATCAGTGACAGAAAAAAAAAAAAAAGATTAATGTGTGACGAGTGGGAATCAGAAGGTCTGTTGTGAGCCTCATATACTTTCTGGGCTTAAATTTGCTCATTGGTCTCCAGCATTGAGATTTGAGCATCTGAAGTTGTTTTCAGGCAATGGATCTCTGTGTTTTCAGAGGCTGGGAGAATGAAAATAGGTACCGTTGTTTTTTATTCTGTATCCATCCTATTGCTTTCTGATATTGGGTGTGTGCAGTTCTAGACTTGTAAGTACCCAGATGTATAGATTTCAATTAGATTTAGGCATGTTAGTCCATATAGTAGTGACCTGCAGTGTTCTGGGCTGGTGCTGAAGATAGCATGGGATTGCCTGTGGGACTTCTAAAATGTTTTTTGCCAGTGCAGATATCCCCTGCCAATTGTTCCAGAATTATTGGTAAGTACTGAATGAATAAATACTTTACAAGTACCTTGATCTAGGTAGGTGCAATAGATGATTTAATTCCTGCCATTATAATCATCTTGCAACTTGTTCTTGTTGCCTTAATAGTTAGCTCTTTTTTTGTAGTTTTTAAGTGGTACTCACAAAAAGCCTGTACTGGAATTGCCTCTAAGATTCATCATGTTATTTGAGCTGCTGCCTTTTTTCTTTCTTTCTTATATCTGAAGTTTCTCTCTATTAATACTATACAGAGATCATGAACAGCATATGATGTGTACATTCTCAGGTGGTTTAATAAATGAAAAAGAAAACCGTAACACTGTATGATAATTTGAAGTGAATGTCAGAATGCTTCAAGTAGCAAGCACAGCATGGTTTTATAATGTGCTACAGTCTAGACTGGATTAATATCATTTAGTTCAATATTCAAACTTGAAAATTGCTGAGAGTCTAAGTGGGCCGCTTAATAAACTTTTCCTCACTTTTACTAATCGAAGCATATACATCGTGTATATAATAATAGAAAAAAACTTCAACTCTGGCTTCTTGCAGCACAACTGGTGTTTTAATTGTAAAATTAGTAGATTTTAATATGAAAATCAAAGGCTCTAAGCCAGGGCCTTAGCAGCCTGTTTGATAATTTGGCCTTGTGACATTGTATGGAAACAACTTGACATGAAGGACTGAAAGCACTGTAACACCATGCTTCCCAGCCCCGTTCTAACCTGCTGATTCAGGAAGATACTATGGTCAATGGTATTGATTTCCCAAGCATCTCTTGATGGTGTTCAGCAGGGTCACATTCATTTCATTACCAGACACAACCAAAAGGAAGTTTGGAATTGTTCTAACTTAGGGGTAGCTTACGTTGTACCTTCCAGATTTTTTGGACTACAACTCTACTGGCTTGGGTTGATGGAAATTATAGTCCAAAATATTTGGTAGCCATCCAGTTGGCTACCCCAGTTCTAAATAATCCGCTCCAAACATGAATACTAAGGTGATTCATGTTTATTGCTCCCATCAATGTCAAAAGACCCATAGATTCAAATTCTGAACTTTTTTTACATTGAGCATTATGGGTTTTGAAAGCTTGCATGAATTAAAAGAAACTGTTCAACTTTTTCACATGTTCATTTATTCTGTGACAGATGTTTCTTTTTTTTAATGCAGAAGATGGAGGAATCTGAGGCTAGTGAGAAGCAAGAGAAGTTGGAGGCTGTGTTGTATAAAATACCTTGCCATTGCTTGGTAGACACCTAGCTTGGCCAAAATATATCTTAAGATGCTCTGCATTCTACAGCATTTGAAATTACTCTTCTCAAATGAAATGTGAGAGTTTCTAGTTTAGTAATCTAGACTGATGTAGTAGCAGTTCTCTCGTAAGTTTTGCAGATTCTCTCCCCTCCAATTTTATTTTAAAAACTGGAGAAAATTGAGAGGCAGAGAAACTCCCCCAACCCCCCCCAAACACACACACACACACAAACACAGCCTTTACTCTTAAGATGCAGGAAGTGGCTGATATGAACATCTATATATTTTCTCTTCTTGCTAGCCCTTTCCACTTCAGTCTGTTGGACTGATTGCTGATGTTTAGACTCTTATTCTTAAACTTTTATTCAAGTGTTACTGCTGACACCTTGTCTTGGTCTGATGTGTTGAGACGCTGAACTTATCCAAGACTGCTTGACAATCTGTGGCTGTGCATACTGTTGAACTGATACAAATCTTTGCAGAAGGGAAACCAGAGACTTTTTAGTGTGACCCAGGACTGTAGTCACTGCACTTCATCTTCCATTGGTGATAAAGCTTCCGTTCCTCGGGGACTCCTCCATATCCGCTGTGTAGAGCTCTGGGAAGCTGCTCATTTCCCATGCCTGGCTCCTTATTTGGGGTAAAGGTCTGTGAATTCTGCGTAAATATTTACCATATCTTGTTCTGAGCAGCAGGAGAGCTTCTTGTGTTGTTTTTTCAAGAAGCTCCAATTTGCTTGGTTTGTTCTTGCACGGGATCATGCCTCTAGTAATCTAAAACAGGAAGGAGTTCCTTTATTAGCAAACAGTGTGTGAAGAAAAGCAAAGGCCAAATTGAAAATGAAAAGACCTTATAACAGAAATAGCAGAAAGATAAGCAAGGTATAAGTCTGATTTTTAATGATATTTCCCAAGATGAGAAGTTGATTTAACTTATGTCCCCTAAGACCAGTGCTTTTAGTATAGTGGAACCTTTTCTTTGGAATGCATTCCCAATTCAGTGTTTGTCAGACAGACACCTACAGTATAGCACTTAAATACCTGTGTAGAACTAATCTTTTCACCCTTGCTTTCCCTGAGGGCATGATTCAGTTATGTTTTAACCTGATCTACTGATCAGGGACACGGGTGGCACTGTAGGTTAAACCACAGAGCCTAGGGCTTGCCAATCAGAAGGTCGGCGGTTTGAATCCTTGTGACGAAGTGAGCGCCCGTTCCTTGGTCCCCGCTCCTGCCAATCTAGCAGTTTGAAAGCACATAAAAGTGCAAGTAGAGAAATAGGTACCGCTCCGGCGGAAAGGTAAATGGCATTTCCGTGCGCTGCTCTGGTTCGCCAGAAGCTGCTTAGTCATGCTGGCTCCCTTGGCCAATAAAGTGAGATGGGCACCGCAACCCCAGAGTCATCTGTGGCTGGACCAAATGGTCAGGGGTCCCTTTACCTTTACCTTTACCTTTACTGATTAGCTATGTATTTTGTAAATGTAATTTTATTGTTTATTTTATCCTGTTTGCCATGATAATTATTTCTTAATGTTGGTGGTATATAAATATTTGCTGAATAAATATTCCAGGAAAGCAGTCCTATTTTAAGGCAACTTATGCTGCATGAAAGAAGAGGCATTTAAAGAATTTAAGCCACTTACACACTTCTTTTGATCTGACAATCCATATGTAATCTATTTTTAACTTGCTATATTGCAAATGTATACCAAATAAAATACAGCCTTTTCCCTCTGAGGAAAGTATCATAAAACACAAAACAATGCTATCTTTGTCATGTATGTTTTCCCTGTCAGTATTTTCCTCTTAATAGGCCTACCTTTCCTCTTTCTTAGCTCTGTGAACAATTTTTTTTTAAATGATCATATATCTGCAATGTTTCTCCTTACAGTGTGGTAAATGTCTTTGTTCTTTTACTTGTGCTGAAAATCACATTCTCACAATGCCTTACAGAGCTGTTGCAACCTTCATGTACCCCACCCCCCACCCCCGGTGAAATGGCTGTATTCATTCATGCAGTTTTTTCTGTTTGTTCGGTTTTTAGTCACTGCGGCTATTATGCATGCTCATAAGTATTTATTATTCAAAATGTATGGAGGTGCCAGGGATTGAGCATGGGGCCCTGTGAATGCAACGCATGTGCTGTACCACTGAATTACAGCTCTTCTGATATATGTTGATAGCAGGTATAGTAGGGTCAGCATTTCATAGGATCTGAAACCGCAGTAATGAATCTGTAAAATCTTTTAAAATAACTTGTCACTGGGATTGTTTATTCCCAGCTAATGATGATTTGATGGTTCAGTTAGTAAATGAGAGTGGTGTTTTGAGAGCTTTTCACTTTGCTGAAGGATATTTTTAAAAGCACTGCTTGCTTTACACCTTTCTGCATTATAACCTTGCACAAATCGTGACAATTGGAACATTAACCTAAAATAACAATAATCGTAAAAAACCCAACAACAACAAATCAGTTAATACCAATGGTTTAACAGAGAGCTTGATGATGAATGAGTGTCTAGGTGGGCTTTTTATTTGATTTGTCCTTTAATGCTGACTTTGATGTTTTAATTACTTGCCATATTGCTTCTTTCTCTGGCTTTAAATTGTTTTAGTTGTTTGGTGGTGCATTTTTGAGGATGTTAGCTACCTTGGACATTATTAAGGCAAGATATCATTTATCTTAATACATAATAAATATGGATTTTTTTACATCACCAAAAATCTTGACACACTAATACTGGCAAGAGTTCCATTTAATCCTCAGATTGAACAAAAGTAAGTAACATTATACCTGTTTACAGCTAAGGGAACTGGAGCGATCTAGTTACTCAGTACATGAGAGTTAAAAGAATGAGGAACAGAATTGGTTTAATTTTTTGTTCCTCATCACAGTATCTGTGTCATATATGGGAATATGCATGAAGTATGGACAGTTGAAAGTTCTAGGAATGAGGAAGTTTCAACCTCCTGTCAGCCTTGTGCTGAGGATACCACTTAATGAAGTCCTCAAAGGCAGCCTGATAGAGGCTTAGTGAGAGAGGCTGTGGCCCAGGGCATCTGGCTTACAACTGAACTGTCATTTAAACCCAAGTTTCCTAGATCAGATTTCCAGCACTATATAAAAAAGTCATATTGGTTATACAGAGAGATGTCTGCATTTTCAGTGTATCCAGGGCAGTGTTGGAGCAGTAGCTGAGCAAGTGAGCTGGACATTTAAGCAGCCCGGTATAGAGCTTTTAATCCAGTAAGGGTCCAGAGGAGACAGAGACATATTAAGACTGTTAGCCTCTCCTCTTCCTGGTCATCTGCTTGGTGTTTGAGGCTGGTTCTTCTCTCCCCTCTGAAGTAAACTGTTTTTCCTGAGGAAAACTGTTTTTCCTGAAGTAAACTGTTTTTCCTGAGGTGGCCCTGGTGACAGAGCGTTTGAGCAGCCAAATGGTCACTTGTATGGTGACTCTGGACAGCCCACGAGGTCCACTCGGGCAAAAGGGGAGAATCAGGGATCAAGGCAGGGCTTGCGATGTTGCCATTGGTGTAGTGGGGGCAGTAGGGCCACCAATGAAGTGGGGGATCTTCAGGCTGTCTTCTGACTTCAGGTTCCTCTGGGTTCTCAGTTGCACTGTGGTTCTCTATGAGGTCTCAAGACAATCTCAGAAAAAAATTTCCTCGGGGTCTGGGCAGTGTCAGGTCCTGGCACCATGGTAACTGGACAAAATTTGGACTCTTTGGCTTAGCACCTACTTTTTTGACCAAATCCTAGGAGTCTGCATCAAACTCCTATGTAGCATAGTAAATGTTTCTAATTTTGCATGTGAGGGTTTTGTTTTTTTTGAGGAATTTTTGCTAAACTCTTCAGTCTTTTATCTTGGTTGAGACTCGTACGTTGTCTGTAATGTGGAAATCAATGACTTTGCTGTATTTCATCGCAACAGTTGTTTTGTTTTTTTAAATCTTATATTGATCCAGACTGCAGATGATGTGATGCCTGTCTTGTAAGCTACAGGAAAAATGTAAAGAAACGCTACAGCTTCCTTTTCAGACTTGTTATTCCACGCAGTTCTCTGGTTTCCAACCCTGGTAATGTGAGAATGAAGTGATATCACAGACAGTAGATTATTTTAGGGGAAATTCTTGAGGATTCCCCCCTACTACTACCACCTTTGTGTTTTCTATCTGTTGTATTTAGCTGCATGGATGCTTGTTAACAGAGCTTCAGCCATCATGTTGCCTGAGGCATGGTTAGTGCCTTGGGAAGATTTACATTAATCAAACACAAACAGACAGTGTAGCGTGAAGAAATTTCTCTCCCGCCAGCACTGCTCACAATCCTAATTATGTTTATTGGGGCAGAAAAAGAAAACAGCCCTTCCATCCTTGCCCTCCTTCCCCTGGGCTGAATTGGTTATGTCTCCGGAAGAGCAGTGAGCTGACTGCTCTCTGCACTGACCTGCTGACCTCCATTCTCCCTTGTGGGAGGAAGGGATAGGATTCCTGAATGTTGGTGCTATTTTTATAGTTGCCAGGTGTAAACTTCTGGAAGTCCTTGCAGGATTAGAACTCTAATGAGCAAATGAATTCTGCATACAGAAGTGTTCTGGACTGGCGCACCACATAAAAGTTGCCAACATGTCTATATGAGAGAGAAGTGCCAAAGAAAGACAGGATTTAGAACCAGTAAAACCATCTAGTTGAACAAAAAGTAGAATTGGAAGTGTGGCCAAAATTGACCAGGCAGTAAAGGGCAGGGATTGGACAGTGAGCTGGACTGGTAGGCAAGCTAGGAGATTTATTGGTATAGTTACGTAGGGGAGTCCTAAAAAGAGTGGACCAGAGGTGGTCTTGCAAACAGAATAAACCCCTTGATTGGTGGAAAATCTGCACATTTAGGGTTTTTTTGGGAAGGTGCAACTTCTTGGTACCGAGGGTGTGGATTCAAGGCATTTTTTCTCCCTTGCCCCTCATTCCTCCAAGGTGCACTTCTCTGCTTAAAGCAGTGAGAGTCAAGATTGCCTTGGGTGGGGGATCTCTAGTACTTGGCTTTGTCTTCTAGTTGCCGTTCTTACTCCTACACAGTTACAAGCTCACCAGGCATCATTTTAAACTACATGCACCCTTTTTTGAGCAAGGGCATAGCTCAGTAGCACAGCAGCTGCTGTATACATAAGATCTCAAATTCAATCCCCAGCATATCCAGCTACGGATGAAAATGCTGTGTCTGTAAATGTGGAGAGCCACTGCCAGTTAGTGTAGGTAGGAAGTATGAACTAGCTCAGGGGTTGTCAACCTGCTTGCTACCGCCCACTAGTGGGCTTTTCAGGATTCTAGGTGGGCGGTAGGGGGTTCTATGGCACAAGCTGAATCCTCTTTACATCAAGCACTGGTGGGCAGTAAGGAAATTTTACCATCAAGAAACATGCATTAGTGGGCGGTAGGTATAAAAAGGTTGACTATCCCTGAGCTAGATGAACCAGTGATCTGACTTTGCACAGGACAGCCTGTGTGTTCCTATGTTTACATTGGGAAGCAAAGTAATTTGCTGGCAGACCTAAAGAAATGATGGCAGTTAGATATTAAATTGTAATATATAGATACAATTTATTCTATGAAGAGATTAGAATAAACCTATATAGTGAGATGTGAACACCACAAAAAAGAACTATGACACAATTTGTGGCTGTAGTATCAGTGATTTTTTTTACTCCCCTCACACTGCTATTGTAATTATATTTTTAAATATATATTTTTTTGGTCTCTAAGATAGCTAAACACTCAGACCTAAGCTGTCCTTCCTCCTACTGGCTGAAGTCCTTTCCCAAAGATGTACGTAGATGCTGCTTTCTTCCTCTCCATTAGCAGTCTTCACTGAGATAATAGCTAGGAGGGAGGTATGAAGAAACTCCACCTCTTTTTGCCTATCCCAAGTGGACTGACCAAATGCATTTTCAAGAGTATCAGATGAGCATTTTTAAGGAGCCACCAAAATCAGATGGGGTGGCTGGGTTTCTTAAGCAATTTGACCTTCATCAGAAATAGTATTGCTGGCTAATTTCTCTGGTCCCTTTCAATCCAGGTAATCTCTGTAAGTCTTTGTTTCCTTGTTCTGATGTGTGATGTGGGAAGAGGGATAGAAAACAGCTTTTCTTGGTGCAGAATAATAAAAGGTGAAACATTCTTCTTTATGGAAAACAATGTTTTAACAGAGAAGAGAATATTGTACACAACTGTGTTGTGTTTTGTGGTCTAGCTCCTACTTTTAAAAAAGCATATTTCAAAAAATCTGAGCTCAGCCTCGGTTTGAGAACAAAGGTTTGACAGCCAGGAAAAATGTCTCACACAGAAGAGGCAGACAGCAACACTGTCTCCGCTATGCAGAATCCTCAGCTGAATCCTTATGCTACTTTGCTGGAACCACTCGACCTGCTTTTGTGATTTACCTGTAGGTTAATCTGTTTCATATTCATTTAGTAGTTACTGTTAGGTGTATGCTAGATCATCTCTTATCTCTGTAGTAGTCCTGAATATAGCATATCTCATTCTTATTCTTACCAGAAAAAAAGCAAAAAGACTGCTTTTTAACCAAGGGATGTAAATTGATAGGAGTAAATGCTAAGGAGCTGTATTTATTTTCCCTCAATTTTTATGTTCTATGGTTCATTTAATAAATTTGACGTATGCTTCCAAAGCAGACCAATAGATTTTTGTCATAAGACACTCAAAAGCACAACTGCTGACAGGATCTCTGTGCTAAATTACTATTGCTTTTTTAAAAAATAGGATGAGGGAGTTAAATTGGTAGTTTGTTTCCTGCAGAACATTGCTGGATAACAAACAGAAAGCATTCTGAAGATTCGGTTGTATTATCAGCAATACACCATGTGTGGTGAAGCGGCTGTGTGGGTTTCTGACAGCACGGAGAGTGTTATGGTATCCATCATGCCTATTAATGCATGGATGTTAGATTAGATGTGATGGGCGGAGGATGTTGTGAAACCATTTCCTTGAGGGGAAACTGCTTCAAAGGAAGCAGTATTTTTTCATAGGAGGCAGTGTTCCAGTTACTCCTGTTCTAGGGCACAGCTGTGTAAAAAGGGATGTGCTTGACTAGACAAGGCATTGTGAGCTTTCACCTTTCTCTGAACTTAGTGAGAATTGACAACTCTTTGTGCTGAATAGAATTGGACATTTTAGTTTTCAGAGCTGGTTTTGTCAGCAACGGTTCAGCAGAAATATATGGAAGGGAAGGCTTTGGATTACAGTATTTGCATGTCTTTCGTCTAACCCTAGTGATCTCTCTGTCTCTCAGTCTCTTCTTTAAATGGGCAAGTTTTGTGAAGGTGATCCAGGACAGATGGAGAAGGGTGGAAGCTTAGTGGTAGGGCACATGTTTTCCATGCAGTTCAGTCCTTGGCATCTTGAGGTAGGAGTGGGTGCGACTCTTGACAGAAAATCTGAATAGCCATTGCCACTTAGTGTAGACAACACTGTGATTTAATGTTTTGCATGTTCCTAGATAATATGCAAATGTAGAATAGTGTTCCTGTTCATACTGTACTTCTATTAAATATCTTGCAGTATCGTTCTGCTTTTATTTTTGAAACAGGTGTGCCTCATCTATTCTCTATAAAAAAATCTTCCTTTTAAATATTATTTGTGTACACAATAGCCAAGTCAGTATATGTGATAAAATATAACAGTAAACTGAGAGGAGAACAGGGTAAATCGATTTACATACAACTTGCTTCCCAGGCAGTTTGCAAGGCTATCTTTTTTTTTAAAAAGTTATTGTTTGGGGTAGCCAAAGCAACATTTTAATCAAATGGGATTCAACTTTTCCTTAAATTGTCACTTTTGATGATGCAGCTAAATAATAGACTAGACAGAATTTCTTTACCTAAAAATACATACATACTCCAGGTAGAAGAAAAGAACTTGCATAACTTATAATTTTAATTATTTATTTCATAAGATGTATATATCACTTGATTGTAAAAATCCTCAAAGCGGTTTACAAAAAGATAAAACAAGAAACTAAAAAAAAATTCACAACCATACTTTAAAACATACAGCAGTTAAAATACTGAAATAGATTAAAATTACCTCACTGCTAAGCATCAAGCAACATATATATACCCTTTGGCTCACAGGTATTTTGGGACAATGGCCAGATGATTTCAAGGGAAGCATAGTTTGGAATCTCAGTAATGTATAGGTTCTGTCTGGTGAGAATACCAGAATGCTCAGATTTATGAGATCTTAATAAAACTGCTGTGTTATGGGCAGTCCATGAAATCTAAGATGAGGAAACATTCTAGTTTACTAACTAGCATTCCTGTTTAGGCACTTACGTTGTGTAACTTACTGGGGAAGAATGATTTCACTTTCTCCTTAGACCCTCCCCCCCATTTTGGAGATCTGGTAGCTTTTCCCAACATGCCTGTTGGAATCATCACTATGCTAGATCCCAGAGGTGCGCAGGATGTGGCATCAATGCACTTCACTAGGACCGCTGAGCATGTATATGGAAAGAGTTGCTACTTAAACCTCAAAACCGAATGCTTTGTGGAATATGCATGATGAGTTGTGTAGGGTGGAATTTATACCAGGTTTGGAGTATCCTGATTCCAAACTTCTCCCAGTATGCTTAAATTAAGGGATGACTTCATTCATTTTAATTCCCATTGGTAGTGTCAGACGACGGCTGTATTTCTGTGCAGTGAAAATATGGTCTTTAGAAACCTTTGAGATGGGAAAATTTGGTGTCACGGCACTTAACAATACTGTCTTGTGAGTACCTTGCCAAATGTAAACTAGTTTTGTTCCACAGGTTCAGTGGGCCTAAAACACTTATAGTGTCTTAGATGTAGAATGAACTGCCCCGTGGGAAGTACAGTATTCAGGGCTGGAAATGTTTGATTGTAAAACACCCTTCTTTCTAAACAGGCATAATTTCTGCAGCAGCTAAAACCAATCTGCAAGGCTCTGCTCTGGCTGCAGCTACAGAGCAGCACAATGACCACATTGAGAGTAGCTGGGGAAGCCCTCCTTCCTTGCTGGCTCTGTAAATGCAGCCCTTTCTCTGTGAAAAGCCCTGACATCAGCTATTGGAAAAAATCAGAGGACTTGTGTCATGGAACAGTGCTGAGGAACTTGCTTGAGCAGGGTCTGAATGGCTGGACTGTGGCTGAAACTTAAGTAGCAAGACTTTTACACTTCCACCCCCTCTATCTTCAGCCTTTCTCTAACCCTCTTGCTGAGACAGATATTAATCTATATGCTTGAAGCCTGGCTTGGAACAAGAGCAGCACTGTACTTTGTTGCTGGCAATATATGTAAAATAAAAATGCACCTTGCTGTTTGAGGCTGATGAGAAGCTTTGGAATCTCTTAAGTGTTTGAGTGGGTTGCAGAGGAATTGGGTGGGAATGTGAGAAGCAGACTTTGAACACAGCATCCAGGGTTGCACCATGGTGGCTCTGGCTTTTAGTTTTTCCTGAAGTGGCACAGTCTCATCATGGGATGCACATATAGGGCAGAAACAGTAGCCTGATGCATTGATTTCCCAATCGAGCTTAAAGCCCATACTTAGATTTAGTGGGCACAGCAATCTCTTAAAACAATTGGCTACTCTTAACTGCCACAGGGCAGTTGCATCAACAAATTAAAATACAATGAAAACAATTTCATTAAATTATTTTTCACTTCCGTATGAATCCCAACTGTGTGAGATCAGCTATCAAATCTTTACCCCACCCCTCCTCTGAAAGCCTGCAAAAAGCAATGTTTATTAACCTGTTTTCTGAAAAATATATATAATGAAGAGGCTGGGTACATCTAAGTGGGGAGGAAGTTGCACAGATGTGGAACCACCACAAAAAATGTCTTTTTCTAGGGGCCTGTACTATGTACTTTGTACTGTGCAGGGACCACTAGGTCAGTCTCTTCTGCAGATCCAAAGGCACAGGCAGGTTATATGGAAACAGGTATTCTCTTAGATATTTGGGCCCAGGCTTTTAAGGGATTTATGCAAGTGTAAGCACCTTGAATTGGACCCAGAACACAATTGGCAACCAACAGAGCTGCTGTAAAATGTGGTTTATGTGTGTTTGACCTGCTGTCACCATCATGATCCTAGCTGCCGCATATTGGCATCCTTGCATTTTCTGGATTGTTTCCATGGGCAACCCCATGTACTGTGGTACCTTGGGTTAAGTAGTTAATTCGTTCTGGAGGTCCATTCTTAACCTGAAACTGTTCTTAACCTGAAGCACCACTTTAGCTAATGGGGCCTCCTGCTGCCGCCACCGGAGCATGATTTCTGTTCTCATCCTGAGGCAAACTTCTTAACCCAAGGTACTATTTCTGGGTTAGCAGAGTCTGTAACCTGAAGCGTATGTAACCCGGGGTACCACTGTACTGCATATTACAGCAGTTCAACCTGGAGTTTACCAGAGCATGGTGACTAGCCAGGCTGTCCTGTGCAGAAATTTTCACTGTAGCATAGAGTTGGAAAAAATATTATGAACTGGTTGGTTGTCTGCCTGTTGCCATAGTATCTAGTTGTTTATTTTAAAAACTAAGTCACATTGGCCACATGTCTCTTGGTATTCAAATTAAAAATGAATAGTACATACAAAAAAATTCTTAACACATTTACTGTATTTATATTTAGACATGCCTACCACTGAATTTGATAACACTGTGAAATGTGAAATTGGATGTTATAACTTGCCTCAAGTTCTGAGTTCCTTAAATCATGAAGCTTTAATGTTATTGCATTGAAGGTGGAGACTAGAAGTGTTTGTAGAACAGCCAGAAATCTAAAGCAAATAATACCGTGCATCATTTTCTCATGAGTCACTTTTTGGCTGTGTCTGCTGTCCTATTCTTCTACTAAAAATGTTTTTGTTGGTTTATGTACATGAAATTTGGGAGCAACTCTGGCAGTGTATATCAGCTGGTCATTCTCCTAGGCCAGAGCTTTTCAAACTTGTCATGTTGGTGACACAATTTTTTAACATGCATCATTTTGTGACACATTAAATCAGTTTTACTAGCAAACCAGAGGTTGAACTAACCCATTTCCAGCCCTGGGAGGAGAGCAGGGAGCATTCACTTGACACACCTACACACTGCAGCCGACACACTAATGTGTCGCGACATAATTTGGAAAGCTGTCCTACGCTGACAGGTTTTCTCCAGTCTGTGTCATATAAATCCTGTTGTCATCATTGGAACTGTAGTATAGCGGTTTCTTTAAGAACTGTGTTTCTCTCACCTAAAACCAAAGCAATGCTTTAGTGAGAGCAAGAAGTATGAAACGGACTAGCTGCTTTATATGTAGTATCTGGAGAAACAGCAGAGGTGTAATCACTGGATGTGAATGTAAATCTAAAAAAACTCAAACCTAAATTGAACCTCATCGCTGTAGTTTGCACCAGTACTATACACAGTTCTGCCTGAATCATCCATATGGGGTTGATATATTAGTAAAAATGATTGTCTTCAGCAGACTTGCATGTGCTGTGAATGTTATATAAGTGGACTGAGAAGAAGAAACTCTTTGCATAACTAAATCTTTCTATTTTGTTTAACGGACATATTAAAATCATATTTGATTTAATATGCGTTGTTCTATGCTTTGTGGAATATCTCAGAGATTACTGAATTATCCTTTTTAAGGAAGGTGGTCAGAGTCTAGCTTGACTATTTTCATTAAGTGAGCACTAAATAAATGAATTTTATACTGGAAGGAATAAATGAGACATTATTAGATTCTACTTTTCAGTGAATGAGCCGGATATGTGAAGGATTGTGTGAGGTTACCCTGTGATCATGACTTGCTGGCTGCCCTGCCTCCATATCCCTTCTCTCTCTCTCTCTCTCTCTCTCTCTCTCTCTCTCTCTCTCTCTGTGTGTGTGTGTGTGTGTGTAGAACGAGAGACTGGGAAAGCTGGCCTGCAGCCCAGGAGCTTCCGGGAATCTATCACAGAATCCCTTTGGAACAGTTCTCCCCTTGACATATGCAACATTGTTTGGTGACTGGCATTCTCATGTAAGAAAGACTGAGGCTATGGGAGATAAGCTTGGAGTTTATTCTCCCAGAACTGCATTTTGGAGTGTTTACGCCCTCAGGCTTCTGAACAAATCTGCCCTGGTTAACGGCAGATGCTTTGCTGCAACATGGGGGTGGGGATATTATAGAGAAATGTCAACGGTTTAAAACAGCTGCTTCGCTGTGCAGTAATGTTGTATAGCTTGAGCCACCTTTATGAAGGTAGATGTATATAGAATGAAGTGAGTTGCCCTACAGATTTACTTGGTGTGCAACAAGTACTTACACACCTTTCTAACTGGTGTTTTTAATAGTAGCAGTCAAAATATGTAGTTGCTAAAAGTAATTAGGCCAAACTCTGTGAGGTTACTTTGAGGTTTGTGTGTGGAGAGAAGCAACAAAGGAATGATAGAGCTATACTAGAATTCTTATTCGTGTGATTCTTAAATGTCTTAACTATTCTAAACTAATTTTTATTTTGTTTTTTTATATTTCAGGTTTCCCCTCAAAAAACCTACAAGGTGAGTGTTTGAGAATTTGACTACCTACATACTACCTGCAATATTCTCTTCATAATCAAGATAATATTGGCAGACTACCATACTTGCGCAGACAAGTGAGCTCTTGGATCCAGCTCGGTGCTTGTGTGTGCCTAAGAGTTCCAAGGGTTATTTACGTATCAGAGATGGATCTGCAACTGCATGAAGTTGGCTTTTCTTAGGCACACATTGCCTCCCTACATACAGGCAACTCCCCATTTTTGTGCAATCTACTTGCACGTGACCGTGCACACACATGATGTTGGGGACCTGGAAATGGGGAGCATCCTAGAGAGTCCTAGTGACTTGCAAGAAGACCCTCACCAGAACCCAAAGAGGATGTTCTATTTGGTCTCCTTGTGAGCTGGAAGCACAGCAGGGATTTATTGAGGTTGCTAAGCCTTCCCACCTAACAGCTGATATGTGGGGTAGCGCAGTGGCCGCTACTGTTTCCCTGCACATTAGCTGAGGAAGCCCCGCTGCCCCTCTGGTTTGTGCAGGGGTGTGTGTCTCTGCATGAGCTGGAGGGGCAGCAGCGCTTTGTTGAGCTGTTAGGTGGAAATGTTGAATAGCCTCAACAGATCCCCACTGCCCCTCCAGCTTGCCAGGAGACCTTCCCTGGAGCCCAAAAAGGACATCCTCTTTGGACTCGGGGGGGGGGGGGTCTCCTCACAAGCTACTAGGATTCTCCAGGGTGTTCCCCATTTATGCACATTTCACCGATCTGTGTGGAAGCACGGAACATACCCCCAGCATAAATGGAGAGTTGGTTGTAAAAATAATGTGGAAAGCCCAGCACTTGTTAGTGTAGGGCTAGGAATCAATCAGAGTTTTTCCATGCAGAAAACTTCGGCACAAAATTGACACCCTCCACCACCCCGCCCCAGTTTATCTTCAGGTTTGTGTCTCCTGTAACTTCTTGCACTGGAAGACAGGAATTAGGCACGTCTTCCCTGTCTCTTCAGGTGCTGTAGAACAAAATGGCTGAGATTACCATAGCTGTGACCATTTACAGAAGACAAACTTGAAGGTAAATAGCGTATGGTCAACTTCATACCCTCAGTTGGGTATTGCAACTTCACAGCCTGCAAAGTTAGGATAGCTTCAGCTCAGCTTTATATAAAACCTTTAATTTTTTAAAATGATATTCTCTGCAGATTTAGGCAGCAGAATAGAAGTAGCAGCAAAATTTTACTCCTTTACTAGATACATGTGAGGAGATGTACAGATTTCTTAAATTCTGCAGGGTCATTTGGTGTTTATGATTTTATAGTATCTGTTGCCTTGGTTGATCCTCCATCTTTGCTTCTTTTTGTTTTGCTTCAGACATGGCAGCATTCTGAGCAGAGAGTCTCCAGCAGACAAGAAGCAGAAGGTTGAACGCTGCGTCAGTGCCCAGGACTTCGACCCTACAGGTAGATTCCTCCTAGCCTCCCACACAACTCATTGCTTCACAACAAAGAGCTTTTAGAGTGAAAAAGTGACCTAACTTTTTCCCTGGTGTAACATTAAGAAGCTATTGCTGCCTTTCTTTTTCACAGTGATTGCATAATTTTAGATATCCCCTTTTCACAAGTTGAATTCCCCAATGTTATTAACTGTTGTGTTCTTCAGTTATGTAGATAATGACTCCAGTAGTGATAGCTGGGGTGAGTGGTGGTGGCAGAATCTTTGGCCAAAGCAAATATGATGGACTTCTGTTGTTACCTGTTCTGTTTGATTTGATTTCTTTTATTTTAAGCCTATTTGGAGAGAAAGGGCTATTGGTGGAGCACACATATTCTGGTGGAAGAGGTGTTTTGAAACCTTGGAACCAAGCTATTTGAACTATGTGTTGGATCTCCAAACATTTCTGTTTTTGAATAAGTCTTCTGTGGCTGCATTTTTTTAATTGGACCAGTGGTCTCCTCCAGCACTCCTTCTATACTCAAAACTGTGGCTGCGTTTTGGAAACACTAGAAGATCCAGTTGCACATCCTATGTCATTTATCCCTAAGGCTTTAGGAAACAATTATTTAAAGCAGCTGCAGCCTGTAACTATGCAGGTGCCAGTCTTGCTGATTTGGCACAACTGCAAGCTGCATGGGGATTATGCTGATCTGCGTGCATATTTCTGCAATGCAAAGGAGCAGACCATATGACTAGCAGTCATCGCCAAAATGGGTATTACTGAGGGTTTTGTTGTACAAAATCCTGCACAACTTTGCATCTCTTTTCCCACTTCACCTATTTTTAGGACAACATTATTAAACCACCAGTATTGGGGGACCTCCCTTTGGTAGGTTTTATAGCTATTTTTTAATAATCTAAAGCTGACTGTAGCACATTACTGGTCTAGATAAATTATTGGTTACACTTAAGGCTATTCTTTGTCTGTGGAGCGAATTTTAAACATCACATGGCTTTGTGACCTGAAGAACTTCTTTTCAGTCTCCTGAGTGAAGTTGTACTTTCTCATTTTGTATTTTTATAAACCTTTAACTGGACATGGCTATTCACTTACTTTCTTTTTCCCTATACTTGTAGACCATCTATGTTGCATTCAGAGTCTATTGCTGTCTTGGAAATTAGTCTGCATGTGGAGGTTCCACCCACCCCAACCTACTAACCCAGTGACTGCTGTGTGCTCCTAACTGTATGACTGGCTTGCGGGTGAGCCTCTTGGCCCCATGTGTTGTGTTGCTTCTTGTCTGTGCACCATACTGTTTAGCCTGTTATTTCCTCAAATCATGCAGCAGGTAAGAGGTGACTCTGAAGGTTGCAGAATGTGATATGCAAAGATAGGTCAATCAGGTATTTATACTACATCTTCATGCTGGCTGGGTTCAAGCATGTTGGGCTTGAATTTTGGAGAGCAGGATTCATTGTCTAGTTAAGCTGTGGTCTATGCTGGGTTGCTATAATTGTAAATATAATCATTGTCTATTTATATAATAACTTATTTCCCCTTTTGTAAAATTGAAACAGTTGTAACCTATTTCACCGTTTACGAGGGTGAGCGGAAATAGAAATATCTATCCATTACTTCATTTGCCCTGCTTAAAACTACTTATTTGTCACAGGAAGGACGTACTGCCCATTTTTATGTTACAAGCTCATCCCATTTCTAAGAGTGAGGGCTGGTACCAGTTCTTTTTTATGAAAGTGTAAATTTTCATCCACAACATTCTGATCGTAGGTGTTCAGGATTCTTTCACCTTTGTATCCTAAGTTGTAGTGATGATCTGTTCCGACTGCCATGAAACATTATGTGATTCTAACTTAAATAGGGAACTTGGGTAGCAGGGCTGGAACAAAAATATTTCACAGACAGTTAGATTCAAAACTTGATGCCATTCCCCAGAGTGGTGGGAGCAGCCCATTTATTATATGGTGTTTTTATAGAGTAGGGCCTGGATGTTGATCATATTAAATACAATTCAGTAGTTGATATAGAAAAGAGAGAGCTGGATTGTGTTAACATTTTCCTCCTTACAAGAACCTTACAGTGTGATGTTACCTGTATTGTTCAAACCTCTGGTATTCACATTCTGATTTCAAAATGTTATCACCTCTGTGTTGCTCATACCTTGTTTGTGTTTTGCATGCATTAACCCAATTATACAAATCATTCTGACTTATGAATTTTTTTTCATGTTGGTCTCCATATTTCCTATATCTTTTTCTCCTGCTTTCGTGCAGATAGCTCCTCCAGGAAGACAAAGTGTAGCTCGGAGGAGAGTAGATCCGAGACGTATGGTAAGCTGAAGCAGCCACTGCAGCCTTGTGCCTTTGTTCAGTGTGCTCTGTGCTGTTGTTCTGTGTGCCCAAGGCCTCTGCCCTTTACCTGCCATGCATGGCTTATTCTGCAGCAGGGAAAAGGACTGAGCTTTTTAATGTGGCTGCTGTGTGCAAGCTTTTGGCAGATGGACACTAACTCGCGTAGTAAAAGCCAGATGTCTTTTATTTTGTCTTCCATTTCCTAATAGGAATCCTTTTTAGGGGTTGGAATATTTAGGAATCAGTGTCAGCTAATAGCAGCTTAGGGATGCGGGTGGCGCTGTGGTCTAAACCACTGAGTCTTGGGCTTGCCGATGAAAAGGTCGATGGTTTGAATCACTGCAACGGGGTGAGCTCCTGTTGTTCGGTCCCAGCTCCTGCCAACCTAGCAGTTCGAAAGCACCCCAAAAAGTGCAAGTAGATTAATAGGTACTGCTCCAGCGGGAAGGTGAACTGCATCTCTGTGCACTGCTCTGGTGTTGGTGTTCCGTTGCGCCAGAAGCGGCTTAGTCATGCTGGCCACATGACCCGGAAAAACTGTCTGCGGAGCGGAAAAACACTGGCTCCCTCGGCCTGTAAAGCGAGATGAGCACTGCAACCCCAAAGTCATTCGTGACTGGACTTAACTGTCAGGGGTCCCTTTACCTTTACCTAATAGCAGCTTAAAGGTTTGTGAATAGGTTGAGTTACAGACCATACAGGCTGTGGTACTGATATGGATGTATTTGCATTTTGTTTGAAGGAAATTACAGTCATTTCACTTTTCAACTGTTTGGGCATCTCTTGCTGAATTTTCCTTAGAGAAATGGATATCCTTACCATACCTAAGATTGACAGCTAATTGCATAGAACCATTAGAACAGCATGGGTAGTTTTGTAACTGAAAATATTAAAACTTCAGTTAACCTTATAATAGGCATGCTCCACATCAGGTATAATTTCTACCCCTTAATTTCTGTTCTGCTACTTGTCTTGTGAATGATCAGACCTTTTATAAATGGGTAAATCCAAAACTGTTAAGATTCTTTAATATCAGTGTTCCTACCGCTTTCCTTGCCTAGATTCCACCACCTCCTTATATGTATGTTGGCATAAAACCTTCTGATAATGATCTCAACTTGAACTCAGTATAATCACTTGTTACCCTGTGTCACTGTTGTTTTTTTAGCACTTGAGTTCTTTTCAAAACCATTTCTTTCTAGATAAGTTGTTTCAGTTTCAAGCTTTAATGTACTTTGGAAGAAATATCATGCTTTCTCTAGAAAAACAACAAATTAAAGGGTCCAATCTTGTTATGATTTATGTACTGGTTTGCTGAACTAATTGTTCCCTGCTGCAGAATCGTCCTCATCAGTTTTGCTATGCTGAACTGCTCTGTGGGATGGAATGGACAGTGAGGCATGGTTTTTGCTATTTTTTTCCAAACTATGCATATGCAAACTCTCCACAGCTAATTCATTCTTGTGTGGTTCCTTAAAAAGGAATTTAAGTAGCAGCCATAGTGGTAGCTGCTGAACCCTCTAAAGCAGTGGTTCCCAGTTTGCTATGTACTGTGGACCCCCTGTTTTTCAAAATCCAAGCCAAGGACCCCATACTTTTGAAAATTCTGATGTCTCTATGGTAGTTTTTGTTATGTGAATGACACCACAGACCCCTTGGGTAGATTGTGCAGACCCCCTGGGTTCACAGACCCCCATTTGGAAACTACTGGTCTAAAGCAACCTTGGCCAACCTGGTTTTGGACTGCAATTTGCGTTGGCCTTATCCAACATGGCACTAACAAATAGCTTGTACTTCTCTTTGAAATACTGTAGAAGAGCTGACTATATTGATGTAATCCCCTTTGGGAGAGGGGTTCCCCCTCCCCTGCAGCTATTTGCATATCCTTCTGCTATGTACAAAAAGTAGGAATAACAATATTGCTACCTTAGAGGTCAGAAGAAATCCCAGTGCTAGTTGTATTGAATACTGGTCTAAGTATCATTCAAAACTTCAGTAGTGGAAACTTTCCACTGCCATTAGTTTTTCTGTGAAGTAACCAATTAATCTGTCTTGATTACAGGAAATGTGTTGTGTGCCTTTTGGGATCCATCTTAAATTTTGTTTCCCCTGCCTTTACTGTGTGCCTTGGCTTTTCATGAATGTATAGTGAAACATGGTTTCCTAACCCAAGCCTTTCTGCTTCCTCTCATACTTCCTTCAGAAACTTTGTCTTTGGTTAGCATTTATCTGTGTGGTTCCCATTCCTTTCCTTTATTTCGCTGTGCTAGCTCTCTTCCTCCCCTCCCCCATCTTCCTACTGGTGGTGTAATTTGTGTGGAAAAGTTTGCAATATTTGTTTTGGATGGGGTTAAGCTATTTAAGAGCCTGCAAGTGGAGAATGCTATGCTTTATACGACTGCAGCCTCTTTTGCTTGCCTTTGGATATTACTGAGGAAATGCCTTGAACAGGTAAAATTGATTAGAGGTGTTGCAGTTACCCTTTTAAGGTGAGAGCTGTTGAGATGCCTGTTTTGAATGAGAGATAAGTTCACAATCCTTGATTGCTTATGAAATGAGATATAACATAAAACATAAACAGGGACTGTGTTTTTAAACTTCTGGATAATACAAGATGTGTTTTGCATTCTACTTTTTAAATATCGTAAGTTTCTCATATATTCCGCTGATAAAAACTAAACATTATTTTTTTTCTGTTTTGGAGAAATAGCTCCATAGCAGAGTTTGGTACCTTCACATTGAATCTCGGTGTTGTGGTGACTATTGCTGTGGTCTGTTTCTCAATACCTGTAATTTCAGACATTTAAGAGGTTCAAGGAATGAGTATTGAAATCAGGTTCTTTGCATAAATTGTAGTTTTTGTTCCAGGAAAGCTTAGCCGCCTCATGTTCATGGCAGATAATTTGGGGGTTGAGGATGACTCAATTAGACTTTGTTGACCCTCCCCTCAACAATTTTCTTTATTCAGCTTTATGAATTTTTGCAAAACATTTGTATTATATAAAATTAAATCTGAGATTCTTAGTCCTAAAATCTTTTTCTATTTTTTGGGGGGAGATAGGGAGCTTACATGTCTATATTTTATAATGCCATTTTTTTCTGTGGCCTAAATGGATGCTAAAGGAGTCTATATATATATATATATAGTATTGCCCCTTTCCCTCATTTTATGCCTTCTACGTCCTTGCAGTTGTAGCAAGAACAAGGAGCAAAAATGATCATGGATACTGCCAGCTGTGCTACATCCATAACAATAACTTGAGCATACTAACAGCAGGGCTGACTGCTCAATGCCCATGAACTGATGATAGCTGTGGCTAAAGTGGGGAATGGAGTGGCAGAATAGGTGAATTTTGTACCAGATACCATACGTAAAGGAGCACTATGTTGTTGTTTTTTTTAAAAAATTACTGTGTCATCATTGGAAGAGAAGTTTAAGCAAACGCGCACAGGGTATGGATCTGTCTGACCTCTGCAATGGAATGTTAAGACTTGTAATTGGGAAGAGTTTTACTAGGAAAGTAAAAACCAAAAATCTTTCATGCAATTTTTGAATGAAGTGGCATGTCCTGTAAATCCTGCACTTTCCTTCCCTTTGGCATTGTATTTTGAAATGAGACTTAGAGATACTTAATCATATTAAAGAATTGGAGATGAGGAGAAGAAAGTGGTGTCTTGTGCCATAAATGCAGGATACCATCTCTCTTCCAGTTGTGTCCTGGGAAACTTCACATATTACCTTGGCAGTGTGGTTGGACCAATAAGTCAAACCACATCAGCATGCCTCAAGGCAATTGCCTCTTAGGTAAAACAATGCATAAGTTTGAAGCTTTTTTTTTTATAATCCTCAGAATTTTTGTGGGAGGCTTTTTTTGCATTATCAAAATCGGACCAAACCTCATGGATGCCACTTCGCTCACCTGTATGGTGAGGTCCCTATACTGTTTGCTTCCTAGAGTAATGACAATAGCTTAATAGATGTTTGAAGCAAGTCCTATAACTATTGTATGTATGTATGAATAAATAAATAAATAAATAAATAAGTTGAGCACTGGAAAAATGGAATTGATTGAGTTCTACAAGTAGTGTGTGAGCTATTGCTACTGTAATAATAAGCTCAGAATGCTTGACATATTTCTACTGAAATAATTAGTTCAGAATGCTGTAATACTGTTGAGTTGTTGCTTCTGTACAGGGCTATGCTTTTGGTTTTGCTTCTTCTCACCTATCCCATGTGTCATACAGATAGCCCGTTGTACTGATAGAAATGCTGGTATTCATTTACTGAACGCTTGAATTTTGATTTATTGCTACATGATTCTTATGTCAAGCCAGTTGGCCAATTACCTGAAACAGAATTTTACCTCAGGATTTTTATTCCCCCAACCCCCGCTGCAAGGAAATAGCTGGACTAATGGCCTGACTTGGTTATAGGGCTGCTTCCTACATGTACTGCAGCATTTAAAAGACAAGCAACAAATATCCAAGGAAAAAGCAATCTGTAAAAACAGTACTTAAAAAAATATTTATAATTTTCATTTATATACATTACAATTATTCAACAAACATTCTAACATTTCAAACTTTGACTCCCTTCCCCCTCTTTTTGTGGTCCTTTGCACTTACAGTGGTGCCCCGCAAGACGAATGCCTCGCAAGACGGAAAACCCGCTAGACGAAAGGGTTTTCCGTTTTCAATGCGCTTCGCAGGACGAATTTCCCTATGGGCTTGCTTCGCAAGACGAAAATGTCTTGCGAGTCTAGAGATTTTTTTTTCGCTTCCCCCCCCCTTTATCTAATCTGCTAAGCCTTTAATAGCCTTTAATAGCCTTTTAGCAGCTAATCCCCTAAGCCTTTAAGCCTTTAATAGCCGCTAAACCGCTAATAGCGCTAATCCGTTAAGCCGCTAATAGGGTTGCTTCGCAAGACGAAAAAACCGCTAGACGAAGACTCTCGCGGAACGGATTAATTTCGTCTTGCGAGGCACCACTGTATTTTCATCATTTCCTGCATATCTTAACTTACTCTTTTATTCATCTGTCCTCATAAATATCTCATATACATTTTTGAAACTGCAGGTTGTAAAAACAATATTTAAGAGAAGTTGGGAAGATGAATAAAGGATTTTCTACAAGGCAAAGCTTTAATGTTGCTTGCTACTTGCTTGTGCAATCTACTTTTGATTGGAAAGCAATGGCAAACTCTCAGCTGATTCTGATAAATCTGGATTGCATCCAGTATGATTAAAGTTTTATACTGAACTTCAGATGTATAACCAGAAAGATAAAAATCTGTGTGCCTAGAGAATGTGTTGCTAGCCCATTCATTTACTTCCATGGAATTCCTAATCACCTATGGAGATCAGGTGAATCGTGAAATACAATACTATATTCAGTGCCACCACTTGACAGACATTCATTCTGGCCTTCATTTGTCAAACTGTTTGGCAGAAGGCGGTTTTTAAAACTGGTTTGCTATGAGGCCAGTAGCCTGTGTTTCCTATTGGCTAGAGAAGAGGGGAACCTCTTCCCACCCTCTGCAATCAGCCTAGAAATGGAGACTAATTACAGATAGGCAAGTCAAAGAGTTCTGTGGCTTTGTTTAAAAGGTTAATTTTACATTACAGCTTTTAATACTTTACCTGGCTATTTGTGTTTAAAAAAGGTACGCTTTTAGTGTGTAGTCTGTTCAGCCCATCTGAATATCTGGAGTATATCCATTCTGCTTTTCTCCAGATGTTGTGAATTGCAGATCCCATCAGCCTAAACCAGCATGGCCAACAGTCAAGGTTGTTGAGAGTCGTACCCTTCATATGTTTTGGACTACCATTCCCACTGCGTATCAAATTTGGTAGCTTTTTGGTGGCCATTTCCCTGATATTGGGATGCTCTCCTGGAAATGTACAAACCTGAGGATGGTGAGCCTGTGCACAGCTTTAGCAAGGGATGCAGTTTTAGAAAACATTGGAAAGAGAACAAGTGTGCAGAATCATTAAGTAGCCCGTTAACTTGGAAATGCAGGAAAAAACAGCATAAATGTAAGAAACCGCAGAAACAGGGGAAGGGAGTCAAAATATGATGTGGAATAATTCAAATGTATGTTTTGTGTTTGTTGTAAAATGAAAAGTATAATTTATTTATTTTCATAAAAAGAATCATTAAGTAGCCCTGTTCTCTAAAGCTTGTTGTTAGCTGACAATGTGGCTGATGTGCCAGTGTATTTTACCTTTCTTTACTATACCTCTGTGTCATGCAATCAATGTTGTAAGCATGGCCAACCTGCTGTAGTAATTACCTTGCTTATGACCTGCTCTCCCATTGTTGGTTCTTTCCTCCTTCCATGTCCACCCTGCAGCTTCCCTTTTGCACACATTCTGTAGGTTGCAATTATCGCTTACCAAAATGAGGTTCTGGCTTGATGCCTATATTGTGTCTCTTTCATTTTTTCCCTATGCAGGTCTTGTCCAGCGTTGTGTTATTATCCAGCGGGATGAAAATGGATTTGGGCTGACCGTCAGTGGAGACAATCCTGTCTTTGTGCAGTCCGTCAAAGAAGGTGACGATGCTTGTTCAGGGCAATTCCATGTATTACAGTTGTAGTGAATACATGTGTGTCTGCTTGTACCAGGCATAGGCAAACTCTGGCCTTCCAGATGTTTGGGACTACAATTCCCACCATCCCTGACCACTGGTCCTGTTAGCTAGGGATGATGGGAATTGTAGTCTCAAACATCTGGAGGGCCAGAGTTTGCCTATGCCTGGCTTTTACCTTGTACTGTGAAACATGTATATGCAAGCTTCCATTGACCCTTGTTATTAGTAGTTTATTTTTGTAGCATACAGGTAAAATGAACATGATTGTTTTGTTTCACATTACAGATGTGCAAATAGGTCAAATATTGTAATGTGTATCCACTAAAATTCTAACATGCAAAAGGGCACTAAGTTTTCATATGAATTTTTGTGTTTGAGGAACAATACCCATGTAGAAAATAGCATTCTGTGTATTTCGATTGTGAATCTTGTATATATATATATATATATATATATATATATTTTAAAAGGACAAGCATAGAAAAAGAGGATGTTCCACATTTGACATTCAGTACATAGAATTTGTATTTGGGTATTCTGCCAAGTATATAAATCTCCTATGAAGTGATCATAAGTATGCTAGAGACAAAAATACAGTCCAGTAGTTAGTCTGTAGTCGATAGAGGCCTACATGAGGATAAAGCCTTGCTTTATTGCATATTGGGAGACTAGTGCAACTCTAGAGACTGAATTGAAAGAAGTGCTTTATTGTCTTTGCTATGAAGGAAACTAATTAGTTATGGCTCTACTTGCAACCAATCACATCAGTTTCCTAGAATATATAGGCTCTTGGAATGGTAGGTTGCAAAGGTCTTCCTTCTGTAAGGCAGAATAAAGACTTGGATGCAGCTGCATGGTAACCTCCCACATTGTATATTTTGGCCCAAAACAGAAGCAGGTAGGGAGGTAGGTAGACAAGTGGACTGTCCTTTTCTTCCTTATGAAATCCAGCAAAGCAGGTTTTGTGGCTCATGCTGGTGATGGTCTGGCATGGTCTGCGGTAGGGGACAACATGTGCCATTGGAACAGCATACATCAGGCATGTCCAAAGTCTACTTTGGGGGCCTAATCCATCCCTCCAGTTGTTTAAATCCAGCCCCTGTGGCAGTTTATTTCCTGGGGTAAAATCCTAAAAAAACCCCAACAACTCCAATCATAAACTCCAACCCTTTAAAAAGCTCAACAACTTTGGTTGGCCCTTTGGCCGGCCCTCATGGCGCTTCACATCATCAAATCTGGCCCTCTTTGAAAAAAGTTTCGACACCACTGGCATACATAGTCTTTACAGAAAGGAAAGGTGTGTTTGGCTTGGACACTAAAGTAGAAGAACACTGGGAACAAAAATGTGTTGAGTTCTAAATGGCTGATTTTTCCCTTTAGATGGAGCAGCCATGCGGGCTGGGGTTCAAACTGGTGACCGAATTATTAAGGTGAGAACATTTAGTGTCATTAGAAGAGTAAATTGCTGCTGGAGAGTGACAAGAATGCTTCCGTGGTCGTCATCACAGTGTTTTGCCAAAATCTACCTCCCAGGAACATTTGAGACACTGTGTGTTTTTCTATATTTAGAATTGGCAATGAGCAAGAGGTATTTTTTTGCCAGATGCTTTTTTTTTTTGTACAGCACTCTAGTTTCATAACCTTGCTTTATAAGCTGATGTACATTGCACAAGGCTTCAATTTCATGTCTACAAAAAGGTCTTTAAGCATAGAGTTGGTGTTTGTATGTGTGTGTAGAGGAGGGCAGAGCCAGAATTCACTTCAGTTTCTCATACAGTCCTCCATCAAAATCACAAGCAGATTTGGATTTGATATCCCGCTTTATCACTACCCAAAGGAGTCTCAAAGCGGCCAACAATCTCCTTTCCCTTCCTCCCCCACAACAAACACTCTTTGAGGTGAGTGGGGCTGAGAGACTTCAAAGAAGTGTGACTAGCCCAGGGTCACCCAGCAGCTGCATGCGGAGGAGCGGAGACGCGAACCCGGTTCCCCAGATTATGAGTCTACCGCTCATAACCACTACACCACACTGGCTAAGTGAATATTTGGCTCTAAAACAATCTAAGAGTATGACTCCAAAGGTTTTATCTGTTGTTAAATTGTATGTCTGATGCCTGTGATGAAAATCTTCTACTGTTTTAGTTCGATATTTCAGGGCATTCTTGTCTGTCATACTGTTGGAGCATAGTTCTTGTTAAAAGGCATGAAGGAAGTGAAATCAGTTTAGCTTTGTAGCATGGAAGACCCATGTCATGTACAATTGAAAACGCAAATTAACACAGCTATTACCTCTTCCTAGGTGAATGGGACTCTGGTAACTCACTCAAACCATTTGGAGGTGGTGAAGCTGATAAAGTGTGAGTAAATTAAGGACAAACTGCTATTGTTCTCCCTGGGCTGAATCATGGAGGTTGAACTGTCTGACTTGAGCCAGGGGACAGTTTGTAATGGGATTCTAGCCATGATACTGCTCTATTACTGTCTGAAGGCATTGGGGTGCATTTCAGGATCATAGTATTAAATGGAATCTGGCATAATTTGGAAAACTATGAACCTGTGGGTATGTAGCTTGAGACCTGCGGGTATAGGGCGGTATAAAAATGTTAATATATAATAATAAATAATTTTTTAAAACTCTCACAGTCTATGAGACAGTTAAGGCTATTTGACTAGCTGGTGACTTCCACTGCTTGTTTTGTTAAAAGCTAGGGAAAAAGTTGCTTATCTGACAGTCCTTCACATTTAATTCTTCATCTTGTCAACATTATTCAGTTGATATTAAACCTGTGCTTGTCATGCTTAGTTGTCTTGATTCTCTGCACTATAGCTGAAGCAGGTGGAATGATCATATGACCAACTTCTTTAAACAGGGATTATGTGGCCCAGGACAACTCTGTGCTTCCTCTGCTCCTGTGGTACTGCACACATTGTTTGGTGCTCCAGTGCCATAAGTATACATGTGGCGGGTGCTTGAGAAAACAGAAGGAATCTGCTTCCTCTTGTTGCACCTTTTCTAATGTACACAAATCCCTGACAAGCATCACACTTTAGGAATCCTGGGTCGATACTTAATGGCTAAAGTGGGTTTTGCTTGCTTGCATGTGTTCTCTCAGTTGGTAGTCTTGGCAGATATCTTAGCGTGAGAAGTTTGCTTTCTGGATGGATACAAGATGGTCACAAGACCAAAAATAAATGGCATTTTGTCCTTTCTCTGCAGCGGGCTCCTATGTAGCACTCACTGTGCAAGGGCGCCCACCTGGGTCGCCCCAGATTCCACTGGCTGATTCTGAGATGGATCCAGTAGCATTTGGACACATGTCTCCCATCATGACATCTCCACACTCGCCTGGAACATCTGGAAACACAGAGAGAATTACCAGCCCGGTGTTGATGGGGGTAAGATCTAGCAGGTTTGGGAAGAAGTGGGTTAGACTATGTGGTATGAAAATGTCCTTTGTCCTGCCCCAACCACTCTAATGGTAATAAAGTCTTAAGTCCTGAGATGCATCTGATTAGTCTGCTACAATATATATTTCTCTGCCTAGCCATATTGCCACAGAACTCAAATTGTTGTATTTATATGGAGGCATGAGAAAGAGGCAGAATTGGGATAGCAGTGGGTGGCACTGCTGTTGATCTGTTATGCTGCTGCTTGAAATAGTATTTTATCCAGCCCATCTGTCATCCATAAATTTGATTCTCTGCTGAAGGCAAGGAGAGAGGATCACATGATAATGAAAATGCAACAAACATGTCCCTGCTAAGAAATAAAATTAGCCCAGTGATTGTGTTGTCTTAAATACAAAAATAAGTATGGATAACTTATAATGTGTTTTAACATACTAACATACTGTGAGCAATTTAGAATACTTTGTAGAAGATCTATTTGAGAACAGTTGAACTTGCCTTGTAATTATGTTTTGCCTTCTCTTCTTATCAGGAGGAAAATAATATTGTTCATAGCCAAAAGGTGGAGATTTTGAGGAAGATGCTTCAGAAGGAGCAGGAGAGGCTACAGGTACTAAAGAGGAATCTTTTGGAGAAAAAAAAGAATGCTGCTTCCTAAATTGGCCATTTAACCTGGTTTAACATCTAAATCCCAAGCACAATGCATGAATGATTGTACATTTGAAAGCTCTAAGATTAAGTCTGCATTGAATGTTTCTCAGGCAGGCATCTTCATGTTACCTTAGAGCAGGGGTCAGCAACCTAAGGCCCATGGGCCAAAAGCAGCCCACAGGGTCGTTTAATGGGCCCATGAGCCGCCCCCGAACCGAGCTGCCTGCTTGGTGAGTCCCTGCACGCTGTGCTAAACTGGAACAGCACGGCTTGGGGACTCGCTTCCGCGGTGCTGAAAATCACGTCGACACAGACGCCGGAAATTGCGGGGGCATGCGCACACACGATCCGGTCCACAGGGGGATCTCCACTTGAGTGAACCGCTCCAGGCAAGGTAAACCTTGCTGACCCCTCCCTTAGAGAAACAAAAAGTCACAGAACCTCTGGAAGTGAATATTAGTGCAGTTTACTATTCTTAGGCAATGTTTCAAGTTAATTTATTTTTAGATTTGGGAGACACATTGCCTCCTGATCCCAGCCATTGCATTAACTTGAATCATTGGTTGCTAATATGGAGGGAAATGGGACAAATGGCTATAGAAACCTGTATAGAGTTGTTTTTAGTCTTCAGTGTAATTGCAGAACTATATGTGTATATATCCAGTTTTTAGTAATTTTATATCTGGCACATTCTTGTATACTACAGAGCACTTCACCAATTCAAACTAATTTATCTTTACAAGGCTGAGGAGTCCTTGTCTGTGGCCTCCCAGTGACCTTCAGCCCTTTTTGTCTCCGACATTCTCTCACTGAACTGATTGCATTAGTAGGAATAGTATTTATTTATTTTTATTTCTTACAATTTAACATTCAATATTAAAACACAGTGTAAAACAAATTACAGTCACAAGAATAAGGTGGGTGCTGAAAACGTGCCTTAAATAGTATTTGAAACTTGGCCTGTAAATAAAACCAGGGAATAATGATGGAATGATTCTCCAAATCTTTAAATTGTTTTAGTTCTTGCAAGAAGATTACAGCCGCACTCCCACTCCAAAACTGCTCAAGGAGATCCAGGAAGCCAAGAAGCACATCCCTCAGCTGCAGGAACAGTTGTCCAAGGCAACAGGCTCCATTCAGGTAATGGGAATGCTTGCAGTCTTGATCAGACTATCCTAGAAGGGAATGTTGTGTGGGAGGAGGAAACTGTTCCCAGCTCTGTCTGTGCCGGTTTGCACAAGCTTGCAGTGTTCTCTGAGTGCAGTAAATTAAAGTACACACAAGTTAAAGCTTGGTCTCATTTCTGATTGAGCTCATAGAAACTGATGATTGATGAGGAGATCATTATGCAGAGGATTTAAAGCCTTTTTATGAGTAATTACATGCATACCTTGTTCAAATGGTTTAGTAGGGTTAAATATAGCTGTATGCAGATGCCTGGCCCTTTTTTAATGTTTTGGGGAGCCCTTAAATTAGAGGCCAAGATGTGTTTTACATAGTTCTCATCAGGGACCTGCAAAATTTTACATGTCCCTCTTCTGATATAGCTCACTCTTTTAAAATTTTTGTTAAAGCATCACTATGTGGGGTGCTTGGTGTTTCTTACCCCTGTCTGTCTATTTACAGGATGGAGTTTTATCTTCCAAGTCTGTGGCAGAGTCATTGCAGATCAGCGAGGTAGAGACTGAGAGCGGGGATGGGCTGAACAAAGGAGACTGCAGTTTTGGTGATGGCTCCCAGTTAAATAGTGACACAGCTGAGGTGAGCACTTTGCTTGAAGCAGCATGTGACTTGATTAGTGAGGTTTGTCTCAGCCAGTATCTTGTATTTGGAAGGCAACCAATCCTCTTCTGATAGAAGCAAGTGAAACCCAGTTTGAAAGAGTTATGGTAGTTTTAGTGTGCATGTCACTTGACATCTCCCTTAAAAATTGCTGTTTCTATCCTGTTTCTCCTGCCTTCCTCCAAAGAGTACCAGGTGGCTTTATGTGCAAAAAAAATCTTCTGAGGTGGGTTTGACTGACTTAGTGACTTGACCAAGATGACCCTGTGAGCCTCCTGGCCTAGCAGGAATTTGAACCCACCTTTTCAAGCCCAGTTTTGATCTCACAAATAATTCCTGCTTCTGTATTCTTCCTGTTGCCTCTCCTACCTTTCAGATGCTTAAGCTGTTAGTCTGCATACTTAGAAAAAAAGGTGTGAGGACAGAATCCAATGTTGTGTGGAAGCCTGCCGTGTGAGTCTTCATTGGCAGCCTGGAGAAGGAGTGCCATATTTTTCAAGCCCGGGGTTTCCTGGCACACACCCAGTTGCTGTGCAGAGAACAGCAATGCTGGCCTCTCCTAGAGAACCAAGGGGAATAACAGTACCTTTCAGAACATGTTAGAAGCCATTTTGTGGTTAGAATGACTCAAACTTTTAGGGGCAATTTGCCATTAAAGGGAAGGGGCAGGAGCTTGATTCCTACCACAGACATCTCAGTCCCTTTCCAACTGTTTTTTGTGTGTGAATTGAAATATTTGGGTAGGGCTCAGGGCAACCTAAACCATTGCATACTAGCCTAGGTTAATATATCTCCAGGTTTAAAGCAAGAGAACTAACTGATATTTTCTCTTTTGGGTAGTGGCTGTCTTACGTCACCTCACTCCCCTCCCCTCCATCACCTAATTTTTTAAATAGTGACTTTTAAAAATCTGTGACACCATTGTAAACTTGATAGTTTTAATTACTGGCATATGTTTATGAATGGTGCCGCACAGATGTGAACACTAGATTCCTAACCTGGCAGAAGCAAGTACTTTGAAGCTGTATACTTGGAATGCTTTCAGACAGGAGTTTTTTGTGGAGTTGCTGCTGAATTGCTGCTGTTTGTACACCCAGTCCCACCCCCAGCATTCTTACAATGCCACCATCACAGTACAACCCCCTTTAAGCTTCATTCCAGATTTCCCTTTTCTGCAGAGAATCTGATAAGCAAAAATAGCCCTAATCATCCGCAGTCATTGCTGCTGTGGAAGTTCATTAGTGCATTGCGGGGGCAGTGGATTGCTTGCCACGTTTGTGGAATTTCAGTGGGTGGTCTCTTACCACCACACCTCTCTTTCATTTTTTCCTCACCTGAGCAGAACAGAGTGATTTTTTTCCTGACACCCCACTGCCAAGCAAAATACACTTATTACGATTGATTGCTGCATGCTGTGAAGGCGCACAGCAACCCATTTTGAATGAGCTATTCCCTCAAGATCTCCATGCTGTAAATGTACAGGATTGTCTCTGAGGCAGCAATCAAAGTACATACACCAGACTTTAACAAATGCAGAGGTTTTTACATTATTTTTGTAAATGAATTATTATACATGCATACAAATAGGACAATACTTGATATACACACAAATACACTTTTCATGTTAGGCTATACGTACATTATTCTGCCATGATTTTCTTTATTAAAAGAAAGTGTATATGTTACAAATAGGAAATGCTATTTATATGACTTTTACAAAGTTCATAAGCAGGAAGTAATTGGTGTGTGTGGGGGGGAGTCTAAAGCTTATAATTCTGTTGATTGCTGTTAAGTGATGTTTTGGTAGCCTTTGGTATCACTGGGCATTTTCAGGTTGAATGAATGAAGACTCAATTTAGGCCCATAATCCAGTTTTAAAAATGACTGCAATTTGGAATTTATCAGAAATGGAGGCTCTTCTCTTTACTCTAAGAAAGTAGTTGAACAGTTATTTACCTAAACTTTCAAGTAAGTGTGTGTGCATGTGCATGCACACCATTTTAGTAAATATAATTTTGAGAGAAAAATGAGGATTTAATAAAAAGTGGGATGGGGATCCTAGGCATAAAAAACCCAAAACCACAGCATATCTTTCCTCCAAAGGAGGCAAAATTCTTAGAGAGATTTGCATAAAATTTCTTGTAGGCTTCTCATGGTTAAGATGAAGTATTAGCATTGTATAAACAATTATAGTTAAATAGTGGATCATTTGGCCGCTTTGATTATCTTTTTAATACTGAGGTGCATTTTCTGCCACAATCCTATACTTGCTGGGAATAAGTCCAGCAAAACTAGGTGGATCTTACATCTTGGTAGACTTGTGCAAGATTGTGTTGCCAGCTGGGTTTTTTTGAAAACAGTTTTTAAAAAGAGGAGCAAGCCAGAAATGTCTAAAATTAAGTTTGTTTCTCTTTCATGTCCCAATGAGATTTTAAGGCCAAATGATTTTGAGATAACAGTATCTCAGGGAGGATACTATACCATTCTTTAACATCCTCAGTATTCTGCGTTAACAAGTTCTGCTTTATTGCAGAAGAATATAGAACTTGGTTACTCATATACACTATATGATGATGTTGGTGCCCATTAATGTTGTTTTAGCTCTAATGTATACTTTACAAGTGTATGATTGCAGGAGTCATGGGATTGTCCTTTCTTGTTTGTTCTCATTTTTTGATACTGCAAGCACTGCAAAGAAAACTTTCTCTCTTTGTTCTTCCTAGAGTCCCCGGGGTGGCCTGAAGGAACGAATCTATCTGGATGAGAGCCCAGAGAAGAGTGAGACACAAGATACTGTGAGTGTATGATAAAGATTTTGGGTGTATGAGGTGTTAGGGGAGGGGTAGTATCTCTAGTGTGGGATATGTATAGCTCCTTCTGGGGTTGTTTGTCCACCTTTGGTTCCCACCCTGCACTCAGCTCTCACCAGTGGCTCCTAGAAACTGTCAGTATCTGACAGTGGCCACACCCTGGGAAACTGCTATGACTGGCCAGCTAAATCAGGTGAGGGTAGCTGATGGGTCTCAAACCCTCAGTGAGTTAGGAACTTCTGTTACATGCAAAGACAGGCAATGGTGGATTGAGTGGATGAGACTAATAGTGGGTCCAACAGTCAAGAAGGTTTTTGCATGTGCTATAGAAGGAAGTGAGGGGCAGGTGGGGCTCATCAACTTGGGAAAGTAGCCTTTCTAGGAGAAGGAAAAGTCTTATCCTAAACCTCTGCTGCCTTGTGGGATATATTCAAGAGAAGAAAAGGCTGAGGAGTAAACCCTACGCAAATCCGGAGCAGAGTCCCTAAGCCGGTTGGATGGCACCTTGGTTGCCTCCTTCTGGCAGCTCCTGCAACAGGACTGGTGCCAGATGTATTGCTCTGCTTTCCTTTGGACCATATTAGTGATGACAGGAGAGAGGTCTTGTCATCTGGGCAGCCCAGGACCTCCATACACACTACCGAAGCTTGACCCCAAGGAGATCCCTTTGGTGTTGCTAATGCAGTGGTTTGACTTCACCCTGGAGGTGCACTGCATTGCCTCTCAAGACAGAGGAATGGCAACAACAACCACAGCAACCATGAAGATTTAGATAGCAACTTTTGGTATAGCCTTACTGTCAAGAGTCCCTGTTATTCTTATATTTTCCTTATTCTTTAGATGTGAATTGGTTCCAGTCTTTTCAGATGACACTTTAATCTTGAATTCATTTTTTGTAGAAATTCATCTTTATAGAAATCAAGGCTGTTGAGAAATTTGTGTTAAGAAACAAGAGATTTCATTCATTTATTTTATTGTCTTTTGTTGAATGCTTCCTAATGTGCCAGCCAGGATTTTGTATTTATCAGAGCAACTCTCTTGTTGTAATCAGTTGAGAATTGCCACTCAACGCAAGGCTGAAGGGAGGGGCTAATAGGTCTGTGCCAGAGCACAGGCAGACATTCCTAGGTTCAGTCCTCAGCATTTTCAGTTAAAAGGATATGAGAAAGCAGGGCTTCCTCATGAGAGCAGCTGCCAGTTCATTGATAGTGCTGGGTTAGATAGATTAATGGTCGGACTCAGCTATTGGTTTGTGCATTGAACAGCAGCTATGGGCCCATGTGGATGTCTTCTGTGTACTTAGTTAGAAGGATTATATAACACTGGGCAACAATTTTTTACTTTTTGAATGTTGTCTAGATTTCTACAACTGATTTAGGGTATTTTTGCACTGCTGAATCAGGAAATGGCATCCGTTTCTCTCCATCAGGTCAGGTTTTTGTGCTATGTTGATTTGAAAAAATCAGATCTTGTGACAAAATCGATTACATTTTTGTGGCATTATCAGCTGATTTTTGACAACACATATCATCCTAAATATGTTTTTAAGAGAAAAAAATGTTTTTCCAACAATATATATTGATTACCTGATAGAAACATCGATTACTGTAAACTGAATGGTGGACATTGATAAAGGTAAGTACACGTAAATTGCATGTTGCTTCACCATTTTTCAAACTTCAGGACTTGAACTTCCGTTTTTTGGAACTCCTGGAATGCTCAGTGGCAGGGAGGTCTCTCTTCAGAGTCCAACAGTAGTCAGCCATCATGACTGCGTCCCAGCGACCCTAATACCTGGTCTCCATCTCTTTCATGTCCTGATGGAATCTCTCCCCTGCTCGTCACTCATTGAACCCAGGTTCTCAGGAAACCGGTCCATATGTGAAAATAGGTAGTGCATCTTGACGCTCATGTTGCAGCCCAGGTTTCTGAAAGCAGTCAGCATGTTGTTGACAAGTTCTGCGTAGTTTCTGGCCTTATTGTTGCCAAGAAAGTTCTTCACTAGCAGAACAAATGCCTTCCACGCTTCCAGTTCCACTTCGTTCATTGAGTTTCTGAACTCTGGATCTCTGATGAGCTGACGGATCTGAGGTCCGTCAAAGATGCCAGCTTCCAACTTCTCCATGGTCAATCCTGGAAAAGCCTGACACAAATAAGTGAAGCAGTCACCATCCTTGTCCAGAGCCTTGGTGAACTGCTTGATTAAGCCGAGCTTGATGTGCAGCGGTGGGAAGAGTATTCTGTCTCTGTCCACCAGAGGGTTGTTGATGACGTTCCTTTTTCTGCAAGGCACCAATTCCTCCCGCACAGGCCAGTCCTTCTTCGTGTAATGCTGAGCAAGGTTCCTACTATCCCACATGCACAGAAAACATGGGTACTTGGTGAAGCCAGACTGTTGTCCCAACAAAAAGTTCACCATCTTCAGGTCAACATAAATAAACCACTTATGCTGATCATAACCAATTTTCTCCAGCACATACTTCACCCCTTCATAGTTCTCCTTCAGTGTACTCGAGTGAGCCAGGGGTTTTGATCCCCCAACTTTATGCTTTGCTGCACCAATTTATGGAAGATTTCGAGGTTTTATGACTTCAAACTGATCCCTTTCGACATAATCACCCAGAACTATCGGACCTGAATACTTCTTGTCATTAAAATAATCATTTCCAATCAAAACAATTATTCGACATGGCATTTTACCCCCACCAACTTCTTCTAAAATGCTCCACACAAGCAAACATGTGAACAAAAACGTAAAAAAATGACATGTGGCCATAGCTCAAAAACTTGACCTGATTGAGCAAAACCAAAGTGATTTTTGGATTCAGCGCATCAGATTTGTCCTAAATCAGCTGAAAAAACGCAGACAACAAATTTGTTGTTGACCAGTGTAATTTAATGAGCAAGGATTGCAGCATGTGGGTTTGAAGTGTTTTGTCCTTTTCTTTGAGTGCCCTTGAACTTGAGGTGCAAACTCTAGCAGTGCTTGGGTTAGCTCTGCCTTGCCATTAAGGAAGATAATTTGTGTTTTCCCTCTATGTTTATACCCCACTTTTTTTACTGCAATCCGCAGAGTGGTTGACAACATTTTATAAACATACTACTCATTCATTTATATCGCAACCATTTATATAGTGCTTAACAACATAGTATCTAAGCAATGGTATAAGGCTACAAAAGAGATACTATATAGCTGAAACCAGTTAAAATTAGACAAACTTGGATTACTTGAAATACTCACTGAAATAAAAATAAACAATAACAAAAGTTCTTCATCAAACACCAGAAGTTCAGCAGTGAGGGGGTCTGATCTGAGCCAGGATGGAGTTACTGAGCTGGTAGATAGATGTTGGCTGGTAGCACCATGCATTGAAGTCATAGGCCACTAACAGTGACATCTCCAAAGACTTTTGTGATTGGGCAAGGATGTAAGGCATATCATTGCATCAAGAACAGCTCACTTAAAATGAAAACAAATCCTGCAAACAACCAGCTCTGCTCAAGCAAGAATTAGCATGTTCTGTTCTGATCTGTTGGGCAGTTGATGTAAGATACCCTATTAGTTTGAGAGGAGTCAGTCCAGGTGAAACAGAAGCAGGATCCTGATGATGTCTTGATCTCTCACATATATTTCCCGTATATTTCACTGTAGTTCTTTACAATGGTCTATAATTCTCCATGTACCACATATACAGTGCTTGCTACACGTATAAATATGGGTAATGGCTCAAATACCTTTTTTTGAGGATAAATTATACAGAACGTCATTTTCCATAACTGTGCTACATAATTCTGACTGCTGAATTTCAGTGCGGTGTAATTTTAGAAAGACCCTTGCAGCATACATGATGTGGATAAATTAAGTAGTGTTATTATAACAAACAAACATCACCGGTTCTTGTTTTTATCCTAAACTAATCAGCTGAATAAAAATACTAAACAGAACGCCCTTGTTTTATCCACATTCGTCAAAAAAGCAGTTCCTTGGATTATTATTTGTTTCTTCCTTTGTCAATGCTAGGACTCTCAATCCAGTATTGGAAGTCCCTCCAGTCGTATTGCACCTCCAATCATAGGAGCAGAAGATGACGACTTTGATGGTGAACAGGAACAGGTGAATTTTTAACTGTTCTCTTGTTATTGTAAAAGACTGGTTGTGGTGTGATTGCTTCCCTATGGCTAAGTGACAGGTTTGTTCATGCAGGATTTTGTTTTGGTGGTGGTAGGAGCCCCTCTTGGGAAAATTCTATTAAACTTGTTAGAGGATTCATTGAAAGGCTGACCTCAGCCAGCAGTAATTGATTGGGATTTTTTTGTTTTAAAAGATATAGGGTGGGAGCCATTTTTTCTATCCTAATTTGTAAATATGCTTAATTTAGTGGCTTTCCTGAATTTTCTTGTCCTGGTACAGAAGAGGGGTGGGACTTGGGGTCGTCATTTCTAACCCTGCTTCCCTTCTGTAGGATAGTGGCTTTTGATTTTCCCGGTCATCAGGACCTTGATAATAATAATAATAAAAATGTAATAATTGCTTTGCAGAACCTACCAGTTATAATGGTCTACACCTTTAGAATGAAACTGGCAGTAAAGCAAAATAATCCTTTGCCCTGTTGGAGAGTGCCTTAGACGGAGGAGGATATTCCCCCCCCCCTTTTTTTTGTCCTGGCTGCTTTAGTTCCTGAAATTATATATTTGGATGTTTCCACTGTTGATATTTATTGATTTCAACTGTTTTATGTATAATGTGAACCACATTAATATTTGTAATCATATGAATGAAAATTAGCATTTACATTAAAATAAATAAATAAGCCCATCTCTTCGAAAGTATTTTGACTGACTGGAGATTTATAAGGAGATTAAATGTGTGTGTTTAGAAACTGTGTTAAAATGCAGGGTGGTGTGGAAGGAAAAGGAAGCAAGCTTATGCCAAGTTTTTCTGAATCAACAAAATGAGGGAGGGAGGAGGCAGATATCTTGGAGGTGTTGGTTCTGATATTGTCTCATCTGTATGTACAGATCAATGGGCAGTGCAGCTGTTTCCAGAATATAGAGCTGTTGAAATCTCGCCCTGCTCACCTGTCTGTCTTCCTGCATCATGTCGTGTCCCAGTTTGACCCTGCTTCATTGGTAAGATGCCATTCTAGATGTTGTTTCATGTTGTGAATCTAATGGATTTTGAATTTCTATTTAACCTATTTCCATGCAGTCATAGCCTTTTGGGTTCAGGAAGAAAAACCCTTATTTATTTCCAGATTTTAAATTTAGTTCAGAAATGAAGTTAATGCTCAAAGCAACTCGGCTCCTGGTGTTGGTCTTGTGTTTCTCGAAGGAAATTGTAACTCCTTTAGACTGTCCTTTTAAAAAATCCTTTTCTTTCCTCATAGCTTTGCTATCTTTTTGCGGACCTGTACAAACAAACAAACTCCAAAGAGACTCGGCGTGTCTTTAGTGAGTTTAACCAGTTCTTCTTGGATCGAGCTGCGGTAAGTTCCAAAGCACGCATACCATTCTTCCTATATGTATTACTAATTGCAACTAATTTTGCTTTACTGATCTTTGATTTGATGGTCTCAGGGAGCAAGTTTTAACTTTAAATCATCATAATTGCTCTGTAACCAAATGTTCACATTGAGGCAGAATAGGCAGAGTCCCATACATTTCCAAGGCAGATTAATTTTTAGATGTAGTTCTTAGACCAACTAATTAATTTTTAGATGTGGATCTTTGCTCAGCTTACATTTCACATTAAACCAAAGTTTAAAACACACTATGGTTTACTGTAAACAAGTTTCCACGGTGCTCCCCCTCTTCTCCTGCAGCTGCCATGCCACAGATGAAATGTGTCGGAATCTGGCTTGTTGTTTATTTGGAAAATGCAGACCTTGGTTTGTTTGGTCTGCAGCCCAGCAGCAGTAGAAGGGAAGGCACATCACAATAACAGCTTATTCACATTAAACCATAGTTTAATGTGAATTTAAAACTAATGTGACACGTGAACCAGTTCATAACAGTCTTGATCAAGGGACCCAACACAGTAAAAGGTTGTATGCCTCATGCTTTGTGTGTGTGTGTGTGTGTGTGTGTGTGTGCGCGCGCGCGCGCATGCATGCATGACCACACCCTGAGATGATGTGCAGTCGGAGGACATCTCTGAGGATGTGAAGGTGCCTAGACTGATTGATTGATTTTACTTGTACCTTTTTATTGTTGCAGAATTTGAAAGTCCCAGTCCCAGAAGAAATTTCTGCAGATCTAGGTAAGATTATTTTAAATCTTGCATTGAGAATGCTTTCTGATAAGCACCTATACTGAAGGGGTTTTGTGTCCTCACAAGACTCCCTGTGATATCACAGAGCTGAATTTAGGAGACAGAAAGAAATTGCATTGGTGTTTATGTAATGCAGACCTGCTGTGGGCTGCTAAATCCTTTGGTAACTGGGCAGGAAGATAATCCATGCTGCAGGACCCAAGAAAAAAAAAATATCACAGAGAAGTCTTTCATTCTGAGTGAAACAGATTGACATTTCTTCCTTTTACCTGCAGAAAAGAGAAGGCTAGACTTGATTCCTGAAGAATTGCACCGCCACTATATTCAAACTATGCAAGATAAAGTTTTTCCTGAAGTCCAGAGGCACCTTGAAGATTTTAGGTATATATTGATTCTGTGTGGCTTTCTGCTGGCTTCAAAGAGTAATTTTGCATCTTCTTTCTGACCTTCTGGCATGGTCCCAGTATGGGATGACTAGAGCATAGGCCAAAGCATTGAAGCCTTTTGGAGAGGGTTTGGCTTCTGCCCTTTTACAGCAGCAGAAGTAGCAGTAGGAAGGGTTGCGGCCTCAGCCTTTCCTGTTTAGCTCTCTTCTCAGCTGCCCTGCCAAGCAGCTGACCTCCATAGAGTCAGTCCTTCCTGGGAAGAGAAAATCTCTGCTTTTCAGTGAAATGGATCACTGTAAAATTATTATTATTATTTTAAAAATAGTCCTCTTCAAAATTCAGAACTTCTTTTTGCCGAGATAAATTCTCTGTGTGGGAAACTTCCAGAGTCCAAGAAACTCATTTCTGTGACATTAAAGAAAGATAGTCAGTTATTGTTGCTGTTTCATGAGCAGGTCTTCTAGCCTGGTATTAATATTCTGTGCATGCCTGATAGGGAAACCAACTGGCTGGCACAGGCATAGCAACTGACTTCACAGTGACCCAGCAGTTCCTGTGCTCAGCATAGATTGTTTAAGCCAGTACTTGCTGGTCACTGTGTGTAAAAATCAGTGCTTCATGTTAAGGTTGCTGCACTGCAAGCTTACAACTTTGAAGTACTTGTTAGCTTCACCTTCTGCAGTGTGAAGTACAGTCTGTTGGCAGCAGATTGCTCAAGGGTACAAGCTTGATAGTGGCATGACTGGCTACGATGCCCCGAGGGCACATGTTAGCTGCCCTGAGTGATGGGTGTACATTTCTTCAGTTCTGCTTCCCAGTAATTTCATTCAGGCTGCTGTTCCCCTTTGTATTCAGACAGAAACGCAGTATGGGGCTGACCATGGCAGAAGGAGAGCTAGCCAAGCTGGATGCAGAACGTTTTCGTGACCGGAGCACACTGGAGAAGGAGAGAGCATGTGCAGAGCAGATCATTACCAAAATTGAAGAAGTGCTGTAAGTGTGCGTGTGTTGGATGTGGTATCTCTGGCTCCCATAAGCAGAGAAGGGAATTTGATGATGATGTCTGTCACAGCTGCATTTCGTTGTAATAAGGCTCATCTCTAGTCCTAACCAGGACTCAGTTTTTCAAAGGACCTACAGAACCTCAAAAAGAATTCCATTCTGTAAAAGTTTGGTCTGATAGGTAATTCAGAATTTGTCAGGCAGAATTAGAGAGAACAGGATGATGATGCGACTGCTAATTGGCTTCTTCTGCCACTTTCCTTTGCAGGATGACGTCTCAACCCATTGAAGAAGAGAAGAGGTAAGCAAATAGTTTCATAGCTGTTGTTTTTAGTAGTGCCTTTGTCCCAGTCCTGCTCAGTGTTGTCTGTGTCGTGACCAGGTGGAGAGAGCCCTCTGCTGGCTGTGTGGGCATATTTAACTTCTAAGTTCTAAGCAGTACACAGTAAACTCAGTACTGTAAGTGCTATGACTCCTATCTTTCTGTAGCGTGAAAAGCTCCCCACCACTTTGTTTCTTTTTACTTTCTGGCAGCATTCAGTAAATTTGCAAATCAGGTATATCTTGCTTTCAATAACTTCTAGTTCACTTTCTACATGATTATTCAAACTTCTCCATAGCTCAGCAGTAGAGTACATGCTTTGCATGCAAAAGGTCCTAGGTTCAGTTCCCAGCATTTTCATGTAGGGCTTGGAATGTCCCCTCTCTGCAACTCCAGTGAGCTGCCGCCAGTCAGTGTGGGCAATACTGATTTAGCTGGACCAATGGTCTTACTCAGTATATGGCAGCTTCCTGTGTTCTTTAAATTTCCAGCTTTTAATTCTGTATTGGCCCAAATATAATCCACACCTGCATATGAACTGAACCCTTAAAAGTCAAGGCTTATTTGTGGGTGCGGCCACCAAGCCAGTGCTGACACTTGGCGCCCCGCTCCTCAAGCTGGCACCAGCTTGAGGAGCTGGGTGCCTGCCTCTCAGCTGGTTGGCGGTGTGTGCACTCCCTAGCTGCTTGGCGGTGGGGGGGGGGGGAGCATGCACAGGCCAACCAGCTAGGGAGCGTGCGCACCGCCAACCAACTGGGAGGCTGCATGCACTCCCTAGCTGCTTGGCAGTGTGTGTGGGTGGAACGGTGTGCCTGCCTCCTAGCTGGTTGGCGGTGCGCACACTCCCATGGTGCTTGGCGATGGGGGAGAGCGGTGTGCCCGTCTCCCAGCTATTTGGTGGTGTGCATGCAGCTGGGAGGTGGGCACGACACTCCCCTCAACCAGTGTGGTGTAGTGGTTAAGAGCGGTAGTCTCGTAATCTGGGGAACTGGGTTTGCGTCTCCGCTCCTCCACATGCAGCTGCTGGGTGACCTTGGGCTAGTCACACTTCTTTGAAGTCTCTCAGCCCCACTCACCTCACAGAGTGTTTGTTGTGGGGGAGGAAGGGAAAGGAGAATGTTAGCCGCTTTGAGACTCCTTAAAGGGAGTGAAAGGCGGGATATCAAATCCAAACTCCTCTTCTTCTTCTTCTTCTTCTTCTTCTTCTTCTTCTTCTTCTTCTTCTTCTTCTACCGCCAAGTAGTTAGGGAGCACTCGCCACCAACCTGCTGGGAGGCAGGCGTGCTGCTCCCCCCACCCCCACCGCCAAGCAGCTTTCAGCAGCATATGGTAAAAAGTCACGAATATAAGCCACACCTTAACTTTTCAGGGCCTTAAATTGGAAAAAAAAGTGTGGCTTATATTTGGGGCAATACGGTAGTAGTCATCAGGCTTGTTATTTCTTTACAAGCAGAATAGATATGCTGGCCATTAATAAGGGTATCAGTGTGTTGTGCAGAAGCAGTACAAACTGATTCTCCAATGCCAGGCAAGTCATTAAGTAAAGAGAAAATTATTTGCTACTTTCTCATTTCCCCATTGCTTAATTCTAGCAACCTGATACTACTTTTTATGTGGCTTAAATATATTTTATATTTCTGTTTGACCTTACCTACAGTTCAAGCATACAATATGTGGTTCTCACCTACATGAAACATCTTGGTGTGAGAGTCAAAGAGCCCCGGGGGCTAGATCAGAAGCGACGGATTGGGTTCCTCCCAAAAATAAAGGTAATAGTGGCACATCTTTGGTTAGAATTTCTATCCAACTAAGTTTGGCGGGCAGACAGACTAATGAAAAACAGTAGTTGACCTAAATAGCACCTTGGTCTTAACTGTTACTAAATACTTCCGCTATCTCCTAGAGCATACTTCATTAGAAGCTACTTGCGCTTCTTGATTGGCAATATAGGATCTAATTGAGAACACAGAAATCCTCTTTAGCCTGCAAAGGCATTTTGCCTCACTGGAAATCAGTTGCACAGTGGAAAATAATTCTGAACTAACAAGGGTGTTGCAAGACAATTCACCTGTGTCCATGGTTCCGAACATCTAATGAAAATTTCTTTTTAACTGGGTTCATGTGGGAAGGCTGCCTCAATGAATGCTCTCTTTGACTTCCTTTCAACAACAGCAGAGTATAAAGAAAGAGAAGGAAGGAGATGAAAAGAAGAGGAGAGTCTTCCCCAATATTCTGGGACCCCCAAGGAGGCCAAGCCGCCATGACAGCTATGCAAGTATGTAAGATGAAGAAATATATTATTTTTCTAGCATCCTGACTGAATTGTCCCAAAGCTGAGCATTGCTAGTGTGGGGTGGATTATTTGAGTGAAAACACAATCTCTCTGCAGCTGATTACCTCTTGTCTATCCAGTAGGCAGAGCCATGGAAATGCAAAAGCAGCGCCATCCGAAGCACTTATCCACACCTTCCTCCATCAGTCCAGAGCCACAAGATTCAGTCAAGATGCGCCAGAGTGGGTCCAGCGATGGCACAGATGCAGCCTACCCACCTGCTAACCTCATGTCTCCACAAGCTGCTGGAACTTTTCTTTCCCAGGAAGGGAGCAAGGACAGTGAAACAGGTGAAAAGAAAATAAGATTAAAAACTATGTGCTTTATGCTCTCCTCCCAGATTCAAGAAAACAAATGTTAAACTGCCACCAGAATTTCACCAACATGTAGGCTGCAGTCCTTTTGGGGTTGCTGTAGGTCCCTAACTGCTGAAGACTCAGTTACTTCTTGCTTGGTGATGGCGGTGCAGAGAAATGAGGTGGAGACACAAAGTAATTCTTGAAATGGATGTGATTGATCAAAGTATGAGAGAGAAAACCCTTATTTTATTTTTTTAGGGTCGAAGCAAGTTGGAGAAACTCCATCGTCTAGTGACTCTCTGGATGGTACGCCTCGTACACCTAATACCGTCTTTGATTTCCCATCTCCACCACTTGACCATTTGCAGGAAGAGGAAGGAGAGTTTGACAGGCAAGTCTTAGCTTTGAGGATAAGTCATCATTGCCCAGCCTTTGTTCTGGGTGTGGGTGAGAGGAAAATGGGGCACCAATCTACGTAGAAATCTAGAAAGGCAATGGTGTTCTAAATTTCTAACCTGTTCTCTCACTCTACATGTAGCATAACACACTCCTAGATGGTATGGAACCTTTATGTGCAACCTAGAACTTTTGTTTTAGACCATGCTATAAGATTTGTGACTGACTGCCTTGCTCCATCAATCAATGTTTGATAAATAATTATTTCCCTTCTAGGTTAGCAGAATCAGGAACACCAAAATCTTTCCGCAAGTGAGTACAAATGTGAAAGCAGATTTTGTCAGTGACACCTAAATTAGGCAGAGTTCACTAGAATAAATATCTGCTTGTGCTGCCTTCAGGTTAGGGAGGGCTTCAGGTGTTTAGAGGTGTTTTTAATATTCTGTTGGGAGCTGCCCAGAGTGGCTGGGGAAACCCAGCCAGATGGGTGGGGTATAATTTTATTTTATTTTATATATATATATTTTATTATTATTATTATTCAGATTCAAATACATTAATATAAAGTTCTGTTTGGATACCTAGGCACAATGCAGGACTGCTTGATATAAGGATAAAGTGTCAATAAAAAAATGCTGCTTGAAAACTTGCAGATTTTAATACCGGAATGTTTTCAGGAAAGACATTTCCACCCCTTTGCATTGATCTACAATGTTACTTTAGTTAAAACACTTAGTTTCTGGCTACAGCTTTTATCTGCAGAGGGCATCTACACATTCCATTTCTCTAACCACAAGACAGGCTTTTTGATCAAGTCTCTGGGGTGTTTTATTATTAGCTTACATTTCTTATTCTTCCCATCCCACAAAGTCCGTTCCTAAAATTAAAATATTTCACTGGAACTTCTCTTCTCACAGGATGGACAGTGTGGGTGCTGTGGATAATCAGAGTGAAGATGAGCTCTTTGATTTTGACATGGAGACAGACCCACCCAACTGGCAGCAGCTTGTGAGCCGTGAGGTGCTGCTTGGCCTGAAACCCTCTGAGATTAAACGGCAGGAAGTGATTAATGGTAATTTTTTATTTTGCATTGATCAGATTTACTTTAGATTGTCCAACCCTCCACATGCCAGTACCACCTCTGTCTTCATCAGATTGCTCTGAGTAGGAATTGATCTTTTTCACAAACTTCAGCTTTAGAAATCCAGGTACACAGATGTTGAAGGACGGATGGAGGCTATCCTGGTTCAGCTTCTAAGGTCAGGATCTAGCCGAGATAGATTGAAAGGTGGTGGAACAGCTCAAAGGGCAGCCTGAAGGCTTTTCAGACTTCTACAAAAGGCAGTCTAATATTTTTGAAAGGCATGATCTGAACATAAATCCAGAGCTTTCTGGAATATTTCTTAATCTCAGTGCATGCAAATCTATAGACTTTTTATCCAGAAGGAGCTAATACACTACTTGGGACCAAATGCAATCATTAACACATCTTCTTTTTTGCATATTCAGTTTTACCTCTTGGGAGCCCTCAAAAACAAGCAGAGTTTCCCCATAGATTTAAGCTGCTGACTATGCAAGATGATCTGTTCTCTGAAATTGCCTAAATCTGATTCTCCAGCTCCAGATTTTAAACTGTTTAATTTCTTCCCATCCTTTTCGGTTTTTCCATGCAACCATTTCACCTCTCTTGTCTCTTTATTTCTAGAGTTATTTTACACTGAGCGTGCTCATGTCCGAACACTGAAGGTTCTTGATCAGGTCTTCTATCAGCGTGTGTCCCGTGAAGGGATCTTGCCTCACTCTGACTTGCGGAAAATATTTTCAAATGTGGAAGATATCCTCCAGCTCCATGGTGAGTGAGGGCATCTAACTGCTTTCAACCCTGCTTTAAAACAGTAGTGGCAATATGCACAGGTTCCTAATGTGGTTGTGTTGAAGTAAGAGCAACCCTGAGGTAACAGACGACTGTGTGCAACTTACCCAACAGGGAGACCTTACAGAACAGTAATTGGATATGCAATATTTACAAAATACTGTTCTTGGGTTTCCAATGATCTATAATATCTGAATCCTTTCTTTCTTGATACGAAGCTCCATAAGTTTCTGGTGTGCATTTGGCTTTCTCACACAAGCAAGGACTTTTGACTCACCTCACATGGAAGGGGCAGCACAGTGAGGGTTAACTCTGAACTGATTGGCCAATGTTTGCCTAAACATGGAAGATCTTTATTGCTCTCAAGCACATCAGGCGTCATTGGATTGGAGCAATTGCATGAATAGTTTGAAATTGGTTGGTAATTTCCTCTTTCTTCTTTTTCTTGGTTATTTAGCTGGATTGAACGAGCAGATGAAAGCAGTGAGGAAAAGGAACGAAACGTCAGTTATTGATCAAATTGGAGAGGACTTGTTAACTTGGGTAAACTGAATTCTGTTTGTTCCCCGCCCCCCCTTTCCTTCTGAAAACTGAAATGTTTTGAGAAACCAAAGATTGAAGTAGCAAATAGAGCCACAGGTCAACATTGGCAATTTGTCTAGTCTGAGAACCCATTATCAGGAATTCTTCATTTCTAAAAGAATAGCATTGATCTGGGGGAGTCAAGTTGTGCAAGATGAAGGGAGTTCAGTATGGTGTACGTGTTTCATTTCTCTTACAGTGTATCCATCTATCTGAGCACTTCTTTTATTCAATTAACAATAAATGAATGAGTCATTTAGCTTAAAGGTGACCTACAAAACGGGGGAGGACTTGTTTATCTCTCTAAAAGTTGTCTGTGAAGTTCAGATAGCATAAAACTTGGATGTGATACTGGAAATGAACCACTGTAGAAATGTTCAAGTTATAAATTACTTCATCAGTTTTGTGGATTAACCCCCCTTTTATTCCAAGAAGAATCAAGCTCTTATATGGCTTATTAAAACTATTGTCAGACTACATTCCTGAGACAAGACTTTTATCATTGAAATCCTAGGTAGACATGTACTAGTAATGGCATTCAGCAAGCTATAGTTACCCTAACCCCACCATGATAACCACCCAAAAATAAGTGGCACCCATATCTACTTGGCATTAATTTACTTTCTATATCACTATTTATTGAGTTTTACATGGGCCATTCTTCACAGGAATCCAAAACTTAAACCATAACATGAATTCCTTCCAATTTTTTATTTGAAAAGTCGGGCCAATGGTGAGAACTGGGAATAGGGGCCATAGGAGGCTGTTCTTCTGAGGTACTACTCAGCTCTATTTTGGATACATTTTTGACAACATCTCCTTTGTTAACAGAATAACAGGGCATGCTAGTCTTTATGTTATTATATGACCTTTCTTGCTTTGTGCTTTGCTACATTTGGTTCCCTTGGTTTCTTGTCTCAGTTCAGTGGAGCAGGGGAGGAGAAAATGAAACAAGCCACTGGCACTTTCTGTAGCAACCAGCCCTTTGCTCTGGAGGTGATCAAGTCACGGCAGAAAAAGGACTCTCGCTTCCAGACTTTTGTCCAGGTAATTTTGTTTGGTATAAATCTAGCTTATACCTGCTAGAGGACCGGTACACGTTGTAGATTAGGAAAAACCAATGTGGATTTTTAATTTTTTTTTTTTTTTACTACCATCTTTGGTAGAAGAATCTTAATCCTAAATGCTGCGTGGAATACACCAATCTCCCATTTCAGACCAAATGGGAGTTGGTCTATATAGTACAGTGAACTAGAAGATATCCAAGACATTCCTTTGGTGAGCTCAGCAAGTCAGAGGCTGTGTTTAGGGAAGCTTTTAATGTTTAATAGGTTATTGTATTTTAGTGTTTTGTTGGAAGCCACCCAGAGTGGCTGGGGGGACCCAGCCAGATGGGCGGGGTATAAATAATAAATTACTATTATTATTATTACCCAGCTTGCACTGCTCCACGTCAAGTGCATGAGATGGCATGACCCCTTTAGATGGACTTGAAGACTGTCCACACATCTAGTCTGCAGGCAGTTAACTTCTCAGTTCCCAAAGTAGGACTTCACAAGAAGCTCTTAGAAGTGTGAAATGTTAGTTATCTTAAACTAGAGTAAGCGCAGCACTCCTTGTTGAGCAATGAGGGGAGATGTGGTGGGGTTTATGCCATCCATTACTGAGGAAAAGCCTTTTCACATTGGTTGGAATGTCTGGCAATTTGGAAGCAGTGGGAGTTCTGAAAAACGTGTTGTGCATTTTCTCCATGGCACTAAAGACTTAAGATGGCTCCTCTTTAAGTTGGTGACTGAGATTGATTGCCGATGATATCAGGTCCATATGAAGTAATGAGGGAAGGAAGCCACCACCAGTTTTTGTGATGAGCCTTTCCTCTATATAATTGCCCAGTACAACAGGGCTGTGTTGTCTGTCTGATAAATCTTAGCGTTCCTTGACTTGTATTTAATTGCCAAAAATGTGAGCCAGCAAGACATTTATATGATGAATAGACAGTACACATTCAGGTAATTATGGCCTTAATAAAAATGACAAATGCTGTTATTATGCTGTTTAAATTTAGGATGCTGAGAGCAATCCACTCTGTCGCCGACTGCAGCTGAAAGATATAATTCCCACTGAGATGCAGAGGCTGACCAAATATCCCCTTCTGCTGGATAACATTGCAAAGTACACAGGTACCATATAGCTCTTTCAATTAGTGAGTGGTTGGGACTTCAGCAGTTGCAAAAGAACAATTTGGGTTTCAAAAGGAACCTGACAACCACGACTCACTCTATTCAGTACCGTCAGTCCCTGCCCCTAACGTATTGCCATGTTTCCTCTTTCATGTGTCAAATGTCTTTCTCTGAATTGGGGAGGTAAACTACTTTCCCTTGGTCAATAAAAATGCAATGCAAAAATTATTAAATTCTGCTGAAATAATTGTAAAGCATCCCTGTGAGTTTACTCGGGATGGAATAACTATGAGTGCTTTGTTTTGTCATTGCTGTTGCTGCCTTTCTATATTCTTAATTGCTGTAGCATGCATGCAACAGAACCTTGCTAAATTTTGGTTAAAAGTGCATCTGTGTAATACTATGTAATACTTTTATGGGGGCTCATCAACCTGTAAAGGTAGCCCATCTTAGGAAAAGGAAAACTGATCCTAAACCTCTGCTACATTGCAGCTATACTCATTCATGAGAGAGGCTTCAGAACTTAACATTTGACTTCACCCCTAGAGACGCACTCCTTTTCTCATGTCAATAACAGATGATGTGTGTTGTTCACAGCTTGTCCTAATAGCAGGGTTGAGATTCTTGAGAGTGAGCTATACAGTATACAGCTCTCACTTGACGCCAACAATGTACATGACGTGTGCTAATGATATGTTAGGAAATACAGCAGTGACTTTTTGTCACACTTCTAGATCTTTTAAGTTGTAACATGAGAAGGAGGCATAGTAATCAGAGAATATTATATACACACTCAGCATAATGCTCTCTTTTTTGTATTGCTAATTGAGTCAAGTAGAATGTGACAGCTTCTACATATACGTTTGTGTGCTATTCTCTGGAGACAACTGTCTTGATCCCTGTTTCATTTCTAGAACAACCTGGGGAGAAAGAGAAAGTGAAGAAAGCAGCAGATCACTGTCGGCAGATCCTCAATTATGTGAACCAAGCTGTCAAAGAAGCAGAAAATAAGCAGGTGAGAGGAAGGGGGAGGTCCATGGGTCTGGGTCTGGAGAAGATAAGACGGAGGGGTGCTGCCGTGGTGTGTAATATCCATAGCAAGAGGATGGAGACAACATATATGCAACTGTCCTCCTAAAGGGATCCCAATTTGATATCAAGTGCTGTTGCCTGGATGCAGCCATTAAGTCACGCCAATGTAATTGGCTTAATTTTCTCTTTCATGTATAGCATTTGGAAGACTACCAGCGCCGTCTTGATTTGTCCTACTTGAAGCAGTTGGAGGGCCCTATGCTGGATGAATTCAGGGTGAGTGGAAACATTGTGAGACGAGCCCTGTCAATTTCATCAGCTTTTAATATATTCTTAGATCCTTTTGCCACCAGCTCCACCTCCAATGTCACCACATACAATATTTGTAGCCTATGGAATGTACTGGTGGTGGTTCTTGCATCTTGCATGAAGCTGCATATTCCCTGGAGTTATTACTTACTATTGTTTTTCTCCTGTAAAGTCTTTAGACTTTCAGCTTCTTGCTGCTCCTCATTTTGTAAGCTCTATTAGACTTCTATATTTTATTTTATTTTATTTATTTATTATTAAATTTCTAAGCCACCTTTCTTTCCAAAGGAGCATAGAGTTTTTGTGTTAGCTGACAATAATTGGTTTTTGACATTTATTACCTGCCCAATATGGAATCTCTTAGTGAAGAGTAGGGAAGGGGATGATTTAATATCAGTCAATGCTACAAGGCCCACCAGTAGTTTGCAAGTTAAAACACAAAGATCTGTTTGCTATGCATTGTATTGACAAAAATGAAGGCATGAAGTTTCATCTGATCAAGTGCCTTTTTCTAACCCATAAAAGACCAGCAGCACTTTAATGAGTTAAGTAACTTTTAAGCCAGTCAGCTGACTTGCACTGTGGGATATACATGTGCAGGCATGCACATGCACCAAGCCTGCCGTTATAAAAATTCCTATAAGTATTCTCCAGGAATATGTTTCTTTAACTGTGCATTTCTAAGAATCTCGGAATTACTTAGGTTCATGCATGTCATGAAATTCAGAGTCTATCATTCAGTAGCTTGTAATACCATGAAGTTTAAAATTCTACCAGAAAAGTACTACAAACTGTAAACTGATATAAAAAATTCAAGGTGATCATGAAATGTTAAGTTTGTGATGGCAGTGCTTGAAAGGTCAGAAAGGAAGGGCTCATAAAAATTCTATTTTACATGCATAACGTCTCAGTATTGGAAACTTTCAGGTGCGTTACAGGCATTGAGAACTTACATGACCTTGCAAGTACCTATATATTTGTAACCCCTGTTGGTTCATTTTCGTGCTTTTGATTTATAGTCTGTCATATTCATAGGACCAAGGGTGGGCTATGGAAGTTTGGTGAATCAGCAGTTTAATTTGCAGATTTGTGATATGAGGAAAGATGATAGGGCCCCCAAATAGATGGTTCTACTGACTGTCCTTTGTTATGAAAATGACTAGAGCAGAGCCTTGGGTTCATTGTCCTTCCCTCCCCTGTTTGGGCATAAAGGGAGAAGATTAGAAACTTATACTTCTAGTTTATGGCAAACCATAGTTTGCTGCATATACTGCTAGTTTATGGCAAACCATAGTTTGCTGCATATACTGCTAGTTTATGACAAACCATAGTTTGCTGCATGTGGCCAAAAGAACAAATTATGGTTTTCCATAAGCTAGAAGCAAAAGCTCCCTTCTTGTAATGTAGTGGAAGGAGGAAATGTGGAAGCCCAGTGGTTACAACTGCTTCTGTAACTGAAAGTCATGGTTTGTCATTTTTGGTGAATGGAGCCTTTGTACAGACTAAGGAAACCTTTCCACTCCAGTCGTTACACTAGAATTTGATAGGTAGGCATAGGAATTCTAAACGTTAACTGTCTGATATCAAAATATTCAAGAAGTCCTGCATCTGGCAAAGTGAACTCTAGCTCATGAAGGCTCTTGTTACAATTTATCTGAATAGTCTTTGAGGTGCCCCAGGGTTTTGAGTTGCTTGGGACTATACTTAAGGTGAAATTGGCCCCTCCAGCCTTTTAATTGGGTACTGCTTTTCATTTTCACGCTATTAATGTTCAACTGTCATAGAAAGATTTCCACTATGGAGTCCTCCAGTCAGTATTGGTGAACCTCCTGTGAATGGTGCTTTTTTGCTCTGTATTATGTTGACAGAATTTGGATTTAACCAAGAAGAAGATGATCCATGAAGGGCCTCTGACGTGGAAGGTGAATCGGGACAAGACAATTGGTAATCCTGTATATCATGTTGACAGGCTTTTTGTGAGATTTTTAAGTAGAAGGGGAAAATCAGGAGGTGCACCTGCACAAGTTAGCTACTAACAATAATGTATGTAGGGTTCTTTGAAGCTGATTAAGCTATTTCTGGGCATTTTGGAATGGGTTGGAGGATCATTAAGATTATGCAAGGACACAGCAGTGATATGCAAGATGATTCAATCCCCTTTGTAATTCCAAGGTGAATTATTTGCATGCCTTGCTGAGAAAGCACACTGCTGATTATTGTCTCTGCGTGGGTTTGCCGTCTATGTGCCACAGAGAGTGATCAGTAACCCATTCCTGACTGCCCTTATAACCCACTGCAGATCTCTACACGCTGCTGTTGGAGGATATTCTGGTGCTTTTACAGAAGCAAGATGATAGACTGGTGCTGAGGTGTCACAGCAAGATCCTGGCTTCTGCTGCAGAGTGCAAGCATATATTCAGCCCTGTCATCAAACTGAATACGGTGCTGGTTCGCCAGGTGGCCACAGGTTAGTGCAGCTCCGAGGGCCAGATGGTGGCAGAAGAAAGATGGTTTCAGGAAGATAGCCATTGCTCAGGTGGAAAAAATGAGTCTACACTGAACTAGAGCTGCAGATCTGATTACAGTCTTCTTATGCATCCTTGTAACTGGATCAAGCCTGAACGGCACAGGGAAATTGTATGAGAACGTTTCCCCCCTCTCCATGTTCCCCACAATCAGTGCCTTGAAGCAAGGTTGTGTCTGTTCGGATGAGCCTAATGTTATCTCATTCTGCTTTTGAAACTTTGCCAAAGTATGCCTGCCTAAGCTTGGAACAGCTTTGCTGTTAGCTACATCTACTGTGTTGTATCATTTAGGTAGCTCCGACATTTACTTCCCAAAGCACTCCTTTAGTTTTCTGTCCTCACAGTAATGATGTGAGTAGGTCACTGGTATTCCCTGTTTATTATTTTCCAAGGCCACATAATGAATCCATGGTAAATATCAGACTTGAAGCTCATTCTTCCAGGTGCAAGCCCAACTTTCTGTCCAGTTTACCATACTTTCTAGAAACTTGACACCCCTGGGTCCTAGATTTGCTTGTTAATTGCATTAATTTACGATGCATGACTGCAACTTATATGTGCTTATTGTTGTTCATCAGTTGGTTTAGAGTGTGTCTGCTTTGTTCATACCGGGAGGAACAGTCTCTGTTCAAATGTATTGTTTCAGACAGTATGGCCAGACAATACTATGGTCTTATTGTTTTTGTTGGAAATAACATAGCTGGATTAAACACCAGTGTGCACTCAGTGTATAACCACCCTGCAGATTTGAACAGAGCAGACACTCCAGTAATATTTCTTCTTGGGAATTCAAGAAGTCAATATAGGGAGCAGTAACATTGCTTTGCCATCAATTTTTGAGCACTAGAAATGAAATCCCATCCTGTATTCATGCAGTTCTTTGTGTGAGTTCTCCTCCCCAGCCCTAGCTACAGTACATGCCTCCTGATTTCTACGTAAAACAAAACAAGACAAGATGCCATCAGATTTAACTTGTTCTGTATTTCCCCCCAGATAACAAAGCCTTCTTTGTCATCTCCATGTCAGAGAATGGAGCCCAGATATATGAATTGGTGGCACAGACGGTTTCTGAAAAGACTGTGTAAGTGAGCTTGGCAGTCATCGCCAATGCAGTGTGCTTATCATTTTCTAAGGAGGGAGATAAATCTTGTGTTCCAGATCTATGAAGCAGCTTCCCACTCAAAGTAGTATAGTTGTTTTTAGAATTCCTGATTTCCCCCTCTTTACAGCCTCTGGGTAAATGCTCTAAACACCTCTCCAGCTAGGAAGAATGGGGCATATACTTAGAGGGATTCAACTGGTCTACAGCATTGGAGCCTACATAGCTTACCCATCTGTAGAGCTGGCCTTGGTTGTAAGCTTAAGTCAGCAACACCTCCAAACCTAGATGGTTGAATACCTTGTATCTGGTTACATTTAGTAATGATTCAAATAGAGAGATATGATGCTTGCTTTCAGTGAGATATAATGTTGGACAACCTGTTTCTTTTTTCCTAAAATAAATGAGCTAGTATAAATGCCATCTTCTTGCTTTGTGGTCTTCTAGGACTTCTGTCTCAATTGACTCAAAAGCAGGGTGCAGGGTACAATCTTCAAGCTAGAAGTCTTGATGAAACTGCCCGATTTGCTGTTTCTGCTGCATTTTGTGCCCTGCAGTAAATTATGCAAGGTTAAAAGGAACAGCTTTTTTTCTGGGCAAAAGTGGTCTAGGCTGCTTATAGAAATTTTGAAGTCTTGGCATGTCCCCACCTTTTCTTTAAAACTGCTACAGCTAAGAGAGAGAAGGGAGACTCTTAGAAAATTTGTCAGTTTCAGGGAGTTGGCAGTGATCCAAACCTCTTGCTGTTTGTTTTAATAGTCCTCAAGTCTTGTATAGCAGAAAATTGTCATTTCCTCTTTCTGCTTGGTGTTTTAATTAAGAGTTTGTTTAGAAGTTCAGGGATTCCAGAAGTGACTATGCCATACTGATTTAAATACATACATACATGCATACTATCTTAAGACAGGGGGAAATTGAGGGCATCTCATAAATTTTGCTCCTCGTCTTTGGTAATTCCCTGGTCGTTGTTTGCTTTGTTGTTGTTTCATTGTTTCAGTGAATTATATACTGTCTGCTTATTTTACTGTAATCTTCTCAGAAGAATCCATTATATTACAGTACAATTTTACAAGATCATATTTATATGCATTTAAAAAGCCTAACTCTGTTATTATCAAATATATTTCCTGAAGCAAATTTAAGTAGCTGAAATCACCACCATGTGTTGAATGCTATGTCAATTATGTTCCATCCGCCTAACAGTACCATACAATGCAGCCTATAATGTGGTTGGGGTGGGTGAGTGGGAGGTTGCTGCCAGTTTCTCTAATTGAATACTTTCTCATACTTTCTGTTTCTGAACTCACCTCTATGTAGCCTGAGAGATGATAGCTCGGCTGTTATTTACAAGGCTCCTTTCTCCTGACTCAAATCCTGTTTTCACAGAGGACTGCTCTTTCAGCCACTAATTAACACCTTTGAAGCAAATCCCAAAGGTGGAGGGGGAACTAACATTGCAGAACAGTTATGTCAACAGGCCACAGCTTTGCTTTCAGAATTTTCTTTCCCATGTTACTTGTTTTATTATTATTTCTTTGATTTTTATCTTGCCCTTCCTCCTGGGCAAGCCCAGGGCAGCAGAAGCAGCAATGGCAAAACATTACAAAAAACAAAACCCTACTACTAAACACAATTTAAAAACATTTGTAAAAACATTCTTAACCAGTGATCTCATGGGTGCCAAGAACAGTGTGTTTCAGCTGCCAAATGTTTGGGCAAAGAGGAATATTTTAAATTTTCTCCTGAAAGTCAGTAATGAAGGAAACAGACACATCTCACTAGGGAGGGCATTCTACAAGTGGGGAACTGCTGCTAATAAGTTCCTCTCAGGGGTCACTGCCAACTGAGTAACCCACCAACAAAGCCTCGCATGCTGATCATTGGGTCCAAAATGATGGTTAGTACTTTCCCCAGTATTTTAGGTATTTTGCAGTGTTCAAAACTCCCATTGTTCTAGGCATGTTTTGCGACAGGGAATTTCATTAATGTGAGTAGTTTCTGTGCTCTGGGTGCAGTACTGCACCTAAGATTTCAGATTAAAACTGCCACTGCTGGAAGAAAAGGAGGACCTTTTTCAGTCTCCTGACTTCCAGCCACTCTCTGAAGACTGGAGAAGGGACCATCACAAGAATATTAAGGGGGCGGGCAGGAGAAGTATGGCTTTTTTAATTTATTTATTTTTGCAGTCTTCAGATGAGGACTAGACCATGTGAAAAATGAACATAAGATTTTAGCTGCAGCTCATTCATTTTCAGCTTTGTATTCTTGTTATAAAAAAGTGTGCCTAGACACTCTGTTGCAGTGGCCATAATCTAAGTTTAAGGTGCCATTTAGCTCCCAGCTTTCATATCTCAGTTTCTAACATTGGTACTTTGGTCCCCAGCCATTTAGGGATTTATATGCTAGGAATAACATATTGAATTTGGCCCAGTAGCTCACTTGCAGCCAGTGCAGAACTCATCCATCAGGCTACCCACTTACCAGCCTAGTAGCTGCATTCTAAACTTGCTGCTCCCACTGGATTGTCTTCAAGGGCAGCACCACACATAGCTGTTTACTGTAGTCCAAGTGGGAAGGCACCAGAGAATGGACAACGGAGGGCAAGTTATCCAGATCTAGGGAAAGCTGCAGCTGGCAAATACGTCTAAGCTTTCCTAGCCACAGAATGCACTTGAGTGACAAATTAAAAGTTGGAATCCAGGGCTACTGCCAGGCTATGAAGCTCTTCCTTCAGGGGAAGTGCATCTTCTCTCAGGACAGGTTGTACACCTAATTCCCAGACACAGGAACCACCCACCTACATCACATCCATCTTACCAGAATTCAGCCTCAGTTTATAAGCCTCCACCCAGCCATTCACTACCTTCAGACCCTGGTCCAACACCTGCACAGCCTCTCCTGATTCAGATGGGATGGAAGAGATAGAGCTGTGTGTCATCAGCATACCAATCGCATTGTGCTTCAAATCCCCAGATGACAACTTTCAGTGGTTTCATATAGATGCTAAATAGCATAGAACACAGAATGGAACCATGTGGATTCCCACAGCCCAAAAGCCATGAAGCCAAGCAACAATCTCCTAGTACCACTTTCTTGTAGTGACCCTGCATAAAGGAGTGGTAGAACCACTATAATGAAGTACCTCCAACTCCTGCCTCCCTGAGTCATTCCAGACGAATACAACGAGCAGCGGCATCAAAAACTGTCAAGCTGCCAAGGAGACCAGCAGGGTTGCACTCCCCCGTCTCTCCTGATAGAGGTCATACAGGTTATGCCAGAGATTAAAATTATTCATGCAAGAGGCCCAAATGGGCCTTTTGTGTTGCATGTCTTGGGATGTGCCTTGAATTTCTTTCCCTAATTGATAATGTTTCTTCCCACTCAATAGTTAATCCTGAATGGCATATTTAGCGGTTGCTCTTGCACACTAGACATATTTGGTGACTGTAACAGAGGATTTAGAGTTTAAAAGGCATCTTCTGCAGCATCTTCCTGTGCACACTGCAAATGTTTTGAAAAGGCATGAGGAGCATTAATTATAAATTTGAAAAGTTTTCTGCAGAAAGAGAAATCTGCAAGTCTGTCTTTCCTACAGGCAATGTGCAATTAAAATGACTTCTGTGTACCTAAAGATCTCAGCAGCCTGACACGTTTTGTCTGTGTGTTTTTGTTCACCTACTTGGAATCTCAAATGGGCTATTAAGTTCTAAGTGCAGGAGTTAGAGCTGTATGTTTGGGGATAGTTTCTGCAGTGATTCTCTGCATATTTAATAGGTTGCAATGTTTTCTGGTGTTCAGCATAAACTCTTTATTCATCAGTTGCCAAATAATCTGACTAGTTTTTCTTAGTAAAATGTTACATTGCTGGAAGTAGTTTGCATTTTCCAAGCAGACTGCACATTGTGGAGCTTTTCTTTAGCTAGCGTGGAAGCAGTGGTTGTTAGTTTCTTAGCAGATTATTTTTTTAAAAAAATGTAAATGGGATGCTGAAGGTGGGACAGAACAACTTATTTCTCCTTTGCCAGGGGTTGCCTTTCCTGACTTCTCTTAACCTCTTTCTTTCTTTCTTTCTTTCTTTCTTTCTTTCTTTTTCTTTCTCCCATTGCTGCATTTGTACATTTCTTAGGGCTTTGGTGTTTGGTTTTTGGGTATCCACTGATAGATGTGGCAGGATCAGTTAGTTTTTATGCATTTTTTGTCATTGCACATACCTTAAACATTTAGGGAAACCAGAATAGCTACATGCTGTGCTTTGTCACCAATTTCCTCCTTTTCAGTGCTTTGCTGCTGGGATTTCTCACATCAGCTTCCCTCCCTGCTCTGGGTCCCTTCAGCCCTCATCCAGTAGCCACTTTTTTCTTTTTGACGACTGAGTACATGTACAGCAAAGCACCATGTGCTTCAGCAATAAAGAATTTCCTTTTGTGGGTTTGTGTGATTGTGATGGAGACCTTGTGCAATCTTAGCTACCTGGCCATTGCAGAGACAAGGCTTCTTGTTTTTAAGCTGTTTTTCCCTCTCTCCATACTGAACAGTCATTTATTGCTTCTGCTCACACAGCGACCCTAAGAGAAGGAAATAAATGTATGCAAGGAACTGGCAAAGGTAAATTTAAGCCGACGGGGGCAAACTGAAATGATAGGTTGAAAGAGTTGTGAGCAGCACTGAAACCTCTTGTCCCTGTGTATTAGAAAGATGTGAGGAAGAGCTGCAGGAAGAATCAGTTAGCAGTTTTGCTAAAACTCGGCACACTTCTTTTTCTTGGGCATCATGTTTTACACTAGTTCTTTTTTTACTTATCTACAGGTGGCAGGACCTCATAGCACGGATGGCAGGAACAGTGAAAGTTGGACGAGGTAGAAGCGTAATTCCATTTCCGCCGTCTGGGCCATGCGAGTAAGTTGTGTGTTTGCTTGTGTACATACACACAGGCACACACACTCTGGTTTTAGTATTGCTTTTCAAACTCCATACATTATAACTGGGTAGGCTCTAGAAGAAAGAAAGAAAGAAAGAAAGAAAGAAAGAAAGAAAGAAGTTGTGGGTGGTGATACCACTTTTTATGTGGTTGATTTGTTTTCTCTCTTTGGTTTGCAGGGAAGATCATGAGGAGGAAGACCAGCAGAAATTAAAGGAAGAACAAGCTACTCCTGATAGCAGCATGCAGAGTCCAGGTAAAAGTTACATGCTTGGTACTGGGTCCCACCACTGTGGCGTGCGTTACCTTTATACCTTTAATGGTTTATGGCAAATCCAAGGTTTTCTTTATTGTGAATTGTGTTTCAAGTGTTAGATGTGCACATGGCACCAAAGTCACTTTTGAGCCATGGTCCATTTATTCCTTCCAGGTTTGTGTCTCTTAATAGCCCAATGTACTGTATCTATTTATACTTTACTGTCTTCTGTCCCCATCTCCAGGACTAGAAGCATGCATGCATTTAGCATGTTTAATAGCAATGTTTGTATTTTGTTATAGCCTTCCTAAAGCTATAGGCTAAGAGAGATAGAAATTTAAATAAGGTATTTTAAGCAGTTTTGAGTTTGCATTGATTTTGGTGGTTTGTTTGTTAGATAAAGATATGGGACTGGAGTCTCCTCTGATGGCGAAGGTTCAGTCTCCTTCAGCAGCAATGTCTGAGAAGCTGGAAGAGGAGGAGCTCCTGGAGGCAGACAGGCAGTTTGGAGAAAAACCAGCAGCAGAGTTGCTGATCAAAGAGTCCTCTGAGCACTACAGCCACACAAGTCCAGAGCACTTGTTCCAAAGTTCAGAAGAGCGATGGGCATTGGATGCACTAAGAAATTGTAAGTAGCTGAGGATCTGTGGGGCCCAAGAGTAAGTGAATGGTGGATTTGATGGTACTCAACTGCTGTCCATTGCCTCTTGAGCTAAATGAGCATCATCTACCCTTTTTGGGAGAGAGAGAGCCAAATATGACAGAAAAGAGCTAGGTGCTGGCTGATTATGTGTTTTGGTAAAATACCTTTTAAAATGAAATGGCTCTTTGGTACCATCATTAGGTTGGTGAATTGGTGGTATAATATAATATAATATAATATAATATAATATAATATAATAATAACAAATATTATTATATTATATTATATTATATTATATTATATTATATTATATTATATTATTACAGTTTGTCTTACAACATGTCTAAAAACATAATGAAAACATCAAGCGTTAAAAACCTGATACTGGGCTGCCTTCAGATCTCTTCTAAAAGTTGTGTAATTCTTTATCTCCTTGACATCTGAAGGGAGGGCATTCCACAGGGAGCGTGCTCCCTGTTAAAAAAACTTTGTATGTTTTAAAAGCACCAGGTAATTTTCTCCACTTCCTAGATTGCCAGTTGGTCAAGATATACACACAGAGGGATAAATGATGGGTTGATAAAGCCTTATGTCTTTGAGAGGTGTCAGGAAGGTGAGGCTCAACCACCAAAATGTGCTTTCTGATAAAACCAGGCCTAGAGCATGAGAACAAATGAAAGGCAAGGGATATGGCTGCTGTGCTCCAGGTGTCTCAGAAAAGTACCACTCTACCTAGGCTGGGAAATGGGATGAGATTTGTGGAGGAGCTGGCAGCTGTTGCCTTGACATAGAGATGCACATGGCTGCATTCAGATAACATGCCAGTCTTTAGATTATTGTCTCCTGACATGTCTTATATCTTTCACCTTCTCTAAAAAGAGAAAAGGAGCTGGCTGCTGAGTTCGTGCCTTCTCAAGAGCACCAGTCTTTAACGTATCATTTATGTGCAAAGGTTAATTTCAGTCGCAGGAGATGACCTGCAAGATCTGTGATGATTTTATGTTCCTTTTCAGTGGGCTTATTGAAGAAATTGTTAATGGAGCAGCTGGGCATGTCTGAAAAGGAGTCTCCCGAAGGCTGGCAGCGTTTTGCCAGGCATAGGACAGTTTGTCAGAGGACCCAAGTGGAGAGTTGTGTCCAGAGAGGACTACAGTACTCGGACAATGACAAGACATCCCTTTCTGGGGCCAGTAGGACACCCTCTGGCATGGGAACAAATAATTTTGGACCTTGTTGCAGTCATCGGACTTCAAGTGAATTCATGCAACCAGGGGACACTGTGTCAAACAGCAGTCAGTTAATGGACCCTTTGAGCACAAACCCAGATACCCCAACCACCGAGCCTGAAGTGATAGGTTCTGAGGATGGTGGAGAGCACTTTTTTGATGCTCGTGAAGCCCACAGCGATGAGAACCAATCAGAGGGTGAAGTGGCGGAAAGGAAGGAGGAAGAAGAGGTGCAGTTGCGGATCTCAGGTGAATAAATCCCGCAGATGTGTAAGGCTGAAATGAAATATTGCTATAATTTGGGCAGAGCTCTTAAGACGTCAGTTCTGATGGCACATATCATTGTGAAGGAAGATGTGTGCATCCACTGTATCTCACTGGTTGTGAGAATGCATATAACCTTAACCTAAAAGCCCTGTGGGAAGATACCTCCCAGTACATCAATTCTTTTTTGGGGGGTGGCAGGGGGCCCACATCATCAACCATTCAAGGAATGGAAGAAATTTGTAAGGTGGCAAGTGTGTGAGCACCTCTACCTACCTTCACAAAACTTAAAATGATGTGTTCTTGGCTGCAAATACTGACTTTGGCAGAAGAATTCTGCAGAGGGTTCATATTCACAAATCCAGGTTCGTGTCAGGAGCCACAGGAGAGATGGGGTAACTTTCTTACTATGAATTCCTGTTTCACCACAGTTTAACCCAAAGCACCTGAGATTAGGGAGAAGAACCTCCAGAGAGGTTTGAGTCCAGTCACGTACTGAATGCATCTTGACATTTTTTGCTAAGGTTACACCAATTTCTTACTTGCATGGCATGCACAGGTGTTAGGGGCAGGCACATACAGTATTGTTTCTGCCATCTTAGATGAGCTGCTCTTATCTGGAAGCGTTAGTGTTAAGATGTTGTCTTCACAGGAAATTATTTGATCCTTGACGGATATGGCACAGTACAGGAGAGCTCCACAGATGAGGAGGTAACTTCGCTGGTTCTACAGTGCACTGCAGGCAACAGCACAATGGACTCTGCCCACCAACCACCACCATCTCTGCAAGACACCCGGACAGACGGAGGAAGTTTGGCATTTGCAGAGGAATTAATGGCCTCCCACTGGGAAGCTGCTAAGGAATCCTGCTCAGGTGTACTAAGGCCTCCCTTCTCTGTGGAGTCTTGTGCCCTGATAATGCATTACATCCAGAAGATAGAAGCCAACCTTGAACACTTAAAGGTACAGTGTGTTCTTGTGTAAATTTGGCTGCATTTCTTTTTTCTAAAAAACATGTAGAAAGTGGGGAATTGGGAACAAAAAGGCTTCCTGGGGAACAAGGCATGCTGAGGATTTGTATGTGTTTTATTTTCTTCACTGATTTTCACTGTAGCTTTTCAAATTGAGATTGGTGGTGAATTTTGTTCCATGACCAGGAGAGTTCAGTTCAGTTGAATTTTTCAAAGGGAAAGAAATGAAAACCTTAAGGTAATCCTGGAGAAAGAGAAGGCTTCATGTGGGGACTGTGAATGAAGGGAAAGAGTGATTTTAGGATCCAGTATTGTGAGGTATCATTCAAAATCTCAGGCAGCAAGGAGGCGGGGGTTGGAGCAGAAAATCTAGAGGCTAAGATCAGTTTCCATTTACTGAAACGAGTGTGTCAAAAGCCACAGTTTCAGGTGAGAACTTCTCTGTATCTTAGAGGCTCAAAGAGAGACAGGGACACTTTAGATCTAAAGTTGACAAGCTAGGGATTTGGCCACAGTGAAATGAAAGTACAGGAATAAAAGTAGGGGAAAAGATGTGAAGACAATGCAGCACCTTGGGAAGAAGGGCTGGTTGTTACATGACGGAACCAGGACTAGGGCAGTGCTGTCAGAGGCAGGCCAGTTCCTTACAACCAACTGGATGGCTCTTGCAACTTTTTAACAGTCCTAAGAAACCAAAGAGTATTGTGCATCATGTGCGAGTCCAATATGAAGCACATTTTTCTTTGTAAATCGCATTGATTTTTTAAAATAATCAAGCGGTGTACACATATTATGAAATAAATAAAATAAGGGTTTAAGGGCTTATTCTCTACAATCTGTTTTTTATCCTGGCACCAACCTGAATAAAGACAAAACATTGCAAGATAGAGTCCAGTGATGAGAGAATTCAGCCTTTGCTTCATCAGACTTAGGCTTGGCTTCCTGCTGCACCACAGATGGATAAGGTGGAGCAATTAATATGTTTCATTTTTCCAGACACATGATTGCTCCTGTGAGTGATGCCATGGGCTTAGGATGTACATCTGTATTTATAAGTCAGACTTCCTTCCTTGTCAGCTTTGCACTGTGGCTCAAAGATACTCTGCTCACAGATTACTAGGAATGTGGTCCTTCTGAATAAGACAGGAACTTTCATGGAGCGTGAGGTGGACATGTGAAAATGCAACATGGGATTTGACTTGAGAGTCTTCCTGTGTCTCTTCTCCATCTGGGAAATGTGCTCAGTGACTTTTCACCTTCAAGATGCTAGAAAGTGCAGAGTTTTGCTAGCACAGTAATGATTGTGTGAGAGTTGCTTCAGGAAGATATACAGAAGGCAAACAGGCCAATGCCAAAGAGCTGCTAAATTGGGATGAGTGGTGTTCCTGTGGTGTAAAAATGGCATTTCTCTCTTCTGAGGCATTGCCCTTCTGTCCTTGATGGGCTGCTGTTTTCAGCTGCTGCCAAACCTGCAAGACCTTTTCCATATCTGGAGAGAAAACAAGTAATAGCTTGAAAGAATAGGAGAGGTTCTCTCATCACTGGAGTTCTCAGTGATAGAGGACTGAATCTGTTCCAGAACTTGGCATGGACACAGTTTCAGTGAGTCTGATCTGATTGCCTGTCTGCAAGTGAGCCACAGATCAAATGTGTGTTGGGTTGTATCTTCCAGGAAGTGGAGGAGAACTATGCTACTCTTCTTCAACAAAGGCTGGCTGGAACAGCCCCCACAGATGAGCACTCAGGTATGCCTTCCCCATTCCCTGGGCACCTTCTAAACAGAAATACAAGGGGAAACAGTTGTTAATCTTTCTTGCAAAAGTTTTTAGAGCTTTCACTGCAGCTCATGAATTTTCAGGAAAAGTTGCTGGCTATAAAACATTCTAATTCAATACCTGGGTTTGCTGACATTGTGCACCTTTCTCTTAGTGGATTGTATGGTATAGGAGGTGCTCCCTTCCTTGCTGCTCAGCACTCAGTCCACTAATAATGTGATAGTTCTAAGGGCCCAACAGAAGATCTGCTGATAGCTTATTTCAGAGTTATTTTTCCATGTTCCAATGGTCATGATTTACAAGCTGACCTGCCCCACCCAGTGTAATATGTTCATTCTTATGACATTTTTGTAGCCTCCTATTTGTAGATATGAGATCTCTTAAGAAGCGTACAATTCTATAGGCACTTTTACCCCTCTCCTCTATTAGCGTTAGTTAATACAGTGGATGTATCTTCCATCTCAACACCTCATGTTCTTTTTGCAGCCTCAGGGAGCAGACAAATGGAAATAATTGTTTGTGTTTTGTCTTTGGCTCACATATAACTGTTTAGTGCAGAGATGCATCTCCGTAAAGCACCAGAGCAGGGATTGTGCACCTGCGATAGAAACACCTGTGCATAAGATCATAGTTCTCGGCTGCTACTTTATAATACTGTGTTCTACTTCCTTCCTTCTTTCTTTCTTTCTTTTTAGATAAAAGTTAGTCAAGCTTCTCGGAGGTTGGATGGAAGCATCAGCCTCGCATTGGCACCTGTCGGCTTCTGCCTGGACTCTTGCAGCATGAGGGCTCTTTCCGTGGACCATCCATGTGCAGCAGAGTGGGAACTGGGGGGGTTGGGGTGGAGGATGGTTTCCTTTTAGGCCTCTGCACTAGCTTGTCAGGGAGAGGTGGTGATTTTTTTTCTCCTCCTTTGCTACCAGTAATTCTTTTTGATTCCAAACAAGAGGAAAGAGAGGAACAAAAAGAAGAAACCAAATGTATAAAGCTTTGGGTGTAGGATATATAAAAATGTATTTAGACATATACAAAAAAAAAAATCAATGTATTTATTTGACTTCATTCCATGTACTGAAAGCACACTTTAATTTGTATTTTATTAGGCCCCAACATCCCTATGCTCCTGGACCCACATTCAGGGCTGCTTGTGTGTGAGAGCGTGTCTTGACTTTTCACTGGATTGGATTCTGCCAGCAACCAGTCCACTGCTCAAAAGAGCTTCGCCTGCAATGGTCCCCCGCCCCCTGTGCAGTGACGGTATGCCATGCTGTACACAACCAGGCACTTGGAAAGGTTGGCAGCCTTTGGGCTCTCCTTGCAATGGCATGTGGTGCTTTGACAAGGAGATGAAAGGCTTGGGATTTTTACCTTGGCTTTGAATTCCCTCTGAAAGCAGTGAGGTGGGGCAAAGAATGTGCCTGCTAAGTCACTCCTGGTTTGAGCATCTTCTACCACTGGAGTTAGCCACAGGTACTTCTGAGTAAAATCCCAGGTATGTTCGACACTCAGAGGTGTGCTTTGTTGGCCATTGCATGTGGAGGGAGAATGGGATTGGTTTGGGGTGGTGGGGTTTTGTTTTGTTTTTTGCACTGTTTGTGCCAAAGTGCTCTGAAATCACACTGGTTAGCTCAGAAGCCTCCATGGGAGCAGCTCTGCAGTATTTTTCCTAATAGGAATTCTGACATCCTTGTGTTTTGAAACTGAACCCTGTCTAAGAATGGAAATTGAAGGCTCACAGCACATACGTAAAAACACTGGACATTCCAGACTGGTTACCGGAAGTGGTACAAGGCTGGGTGCTACCTCCATGAGACAGACTGTTCAGGATGCAGCTTCTTCCTTTCATTGCAAGTGGCTGGTCTCCCCCCCCCCCCCAGGTTCCCAAATCCTGGCCTTTGGGGGGGGGGGGACGACAACTCAGATCTAAATGTGCCGAACTCTAGAAATCCCCGTAACTTGTGTTCCTCATGTTGAATGTGCTGCGAAGTGTGGAGAATTTTTCTTTTTCTTTTGTTTTCTCCCCCTCCTTCCAGCGTGAAGGTCATACTGCCTGCTCCATTAACACAGAGACACATTTTCCCTGTAGCTATAATGGCAGAGAATCAAAACGCTTGTTATTTCCCAGTCATGCGAAACACAAACCTCTTCTTCCCTTAGCAGGCGGAATAGTAGTACTAAAAATGGGCAGGCTGTGCAAGGACAAATTTTAAAAACCTCCCCTTCCCTCCAACCGCCAACATTTTGAAACCATGAACTGATGTCTGTCAAGAGGGGAGATAAGATTTTCCAGAAGCAAGCTGTACGGATTGCCATCCCTCTTCAGTGGCAGAAAGTACCCCAAAACCAAAGGGTCTCCTTCCATATCTGCACGATCTTCCTTTTATCAGTGCCGTTCTGGGTGCCTCGTGGATCTGCTTGTTCCCATTTCATAACTGCTTGATTCTATAATTTCACATTGTTTTCCATGTAAAACTTCTATTTTGCCACCTCTTGGCATTAGGAAAACTAGGTGTGCCTGAGTATGGAAGATAAACATGGACCTTTTCAGATTTTAAATAGCCCCTCTTTTTTACCTCTTAGCTATGTAACATCATGCTAGCAACACTTTTACATTCCCTTTCCACAGCCCATGTCTAGGACGATCAAGAAATCACACTCACAACATGGACTTCTCCCTAGCATGAGTAGCTTTTGAGCAGTGGAGAGTTCAGATTTCCACTGCAGATTGTTGTTGCCGGTCTCTTCGCTGCATTCTGTGGCAGCAGTCCCAAGATTATTGTCTGCTGTAGCACTTCTACTATAGATTTGACCTGCAGAGGTGTCTGGCAATATATTGCTTCAGCATATTTACAATATGCCTCTGGGTCAGGTTGCCAAAATCTCCTGAGGATCAACCTGAGAAAGGAGGGCATGCAAGGCGAATGCAGGTTTTGTGGCAAAGCCTGAAGAGTTCTTAGCCATCCTTAGAGGATGTGACCATCTCTTTCCCCCCACCCCGGGAAGTGAAACAGTACTGTGCTCCTGTCCTTTTGGAGGTGTTTGGTTTTGTGTGTTTCCCAGGCTTGTTCTTATGCCATATTATGCAATCTCCTGTTAAGGGCATTATTCAGCTTATAAGAAAGAGAAGGTGGTGAGAAATGGGGATTGTCCATTGCTCCCAACACAGTATCCTAAAATCACTGGGGATGTCTTAACTCCCTAGCGTGTCTACTGTACAACAGACCCCAGGCACAGATCCATTTTTGTGAAGAGGGTCAACACTAAAATGCACTTTGCGGGGATTCCCATTGGTTTTGGGTGTGTGTGGTCCCCCCCCTTTTTTTTAAATGTACTAGAATAGCCATGAAAAATTCCAACCAAAGAATCCTTTCCTGTCCTTCATGTCTGGCTGTGAACATTCCCTTCTTTAGACTGGACAGTAGTATGGAACAGCCTTTTCTCTCTCCTTTCCTCCTCCCTTGCAAAATGAAAAACAAAACAAAACCACAGGCTGAAAAAAGAAGTAATGGAATATTTCATGGATAAGATAACATTATGTTGGCTCCACTGTACTTTTTTGTGTTTAACCTGGATTTATAGAACAATATTATTGCAGGGGGTGGGGGATTCAAAAGGCAAAGGCCTCGATCCTGATGTCAACTTCCTGCACAGCCTGCTTTTGCATCATTTGGACCTGGTCTACACATGAAGCAGAATGAGTGGTTACAATGCCAAGAGTGGTAGACTGGACTGTTTGTTCGTTTCTTTGGGTTTATTTTTTTCCTTCTGGGCTGTCTGAGAGCACAAGCAGCGGAAAGCTTTAGATGAAAGTTGGGATTTCTTTATATAGCACTCAAATTTTCCAGTAAAAACAGAAGGGCCAAAGCAGTCGTCTCTGTTTGCAGTGCTTTTGCTTTTATCTGCTTTTAGTAACATTAACTCCAATTCTTGTGATAAATCAACTCTTAACTGCCACATCTGAGGGCCTGGTAGACAGTTTCTCTCCCCCTCCCCACCGTGTGTTGATATTTTTAATGTTTTCTCCGAGGCATTACCTATGCCTGTACCTTGTTGAGTTTATTTTTTAAAACTTGCAGACCATTCTTTCTTTGCACTGTAGGTGGGTGGAATATTGTAAAATATGGTCCCCGGTCCAATTTGGCACTTTGCCTGCAGCAATATAGATGATGATGATGATGAAGAAGAAGAGTTTGGATTTGATATCCTGCTTTATCACTACCCAAAGGAGTCTCAAAGCGGCTAACATTCTCCTTTCCCTTCCTCCCCCACAACAAACACTCTGTGAGGTGAGTGGGGCTGAGAGACTTCAGACAAGTGTGACTAGCCCAAGGTCACCCAGCAGCTGCATGTGGAGGAGCGGAGATGCAAACCTGGTTCACCAGATTACGAGTCCACCGCTCTTAACCACTACACCGCACTGGCTCTCTTAGTTGGGAAGCAATCACTCTGATTACAGTGCAGTTAATAATTTGGCTTTTAATAATTTGCAGTTAATAATTTGTAAAGATCTAAACTGAAACTGTGTCTTTTCGCTCATTGTGACAAGCAAGATGGTATTCTTGCCTTGGACTTCAGCAAGAAGATACATTCACATATTCATTTTTTAAAACACTTTCTGCCAGAGTTGAGAATGATTTGTGAGCGGTGGGATAGATAAATAATCCTTTGGTCCCTGGGAAGGAGCAGGAGGGCTACTCACATCCCAGGGCTCTGCTTCTTCATCCTCCCCTCATTCTGCTTGGTGTGTAGATCAAACATCACTGTGTAAATGCTTGTAGTAAGGGAGGAGGAAACAGTACTGAGTCTTCTGTGCAGAGTTTTTAGCATGGCGGTCCTGGGCCCAGTCGCCTGGTTTGACGCTGCCACCTGCTATTAACCTACCATTTAAACATGCAAGGAATGGGGTTGCTAGGTGGCACTTGCGGACATCGGGCATACAGTACTTGTGTGACCAATTCCTGGAGTGGGGGTGGGCAGAGGTAATTCCTGGGCAATAGGGACCCTTGATTCTTGACAACCAAAGCTTGAGAACAGCTGTGGCCCTGGCTTCTTGGACTCTTCCATGGTTGTCTAAGCATAAATGTTCCAACTTGATAGAAAGTTCTTTTTGAGGTAGAGGAAGTTGTTGGTGTTTGCTCTTTGTGTTGTTCTCATCTGGAATATTGGTGCATCTTGCATCTGATGGATGGATTTGACCCCCTGCTGTCCCCATTTCAAAGAGATCCTTCAGTCCTCCTCCTCCCTCCGTCCCCAGATGCCAGCTGATAAGCCAATGGTCTCCAAAAGGGATACTGCAGCCAGAACACTACACTGCTCTTTAAGAATTAAAAAACAAAAAAAGAGAGTTGTTTTGAAACTTCCTTCCTACTAAAAATGTATTTTATTTGTTCACTATACAATCATGTACTCCTTTTAACCGGTTTTACTTTTAAGGAACACAGGAACAATCTGGAATTTGAAAAGCAAAATGCAAAAAAAAGAAAAAAAGAAATCCTCTTAATACCTTGTATTTTTAACTGATCATGTTTGAATGTTTAAGAAAAAAAGAATTTATTGTTCTAATTATCCAGATGTATTGTATGTTTGTAAAATAGCTCTTATTAATTAGCTGATAAGGTGGTATGTTTCTGGAACAAAATATTGCTCATTTTAAAAAAGAGGTTTTGTTGGGTTTGTTTGTTTTTTTGGAATCTGGGAAATAGAAAA